ACGGAGGAGGAGGAGGAGCAGGGAACGGTACAAAGTGAAGTCACCCCCATACCCCTCACCCCCAAACCCTAATTCAGGAGAATGGGGAGTAGGAGGGGTGGGGCGCCAGTAGAAGCACTGGGGGACAGCGGGGAGGGCAGGGGCAGCAAGGAACGGGCCCACCACGGGCCTGGTACAGACGCCCGAGCCGCGCGCAGGCGGCCCGAGCCGCGCGCGGGCCTGGCGCCGTCCGTACGGGCCGCGCGCGGGCCTGGCGCCGCCCGTACGGGTCGCGCGCGGGCCTGGCGCAGCCCGTACGGGCCGCGCACGGGCCTGGCGCAGCCCGTACGGGCCGCGCGCGGGCCTGGCGCAGCCCGTACGGGCCGCGCGCAGGCCACGACGGGCGACGGGGGGCGATGCGCGGGTCCCCGTCGCCCGTCGCGGCGCCTCCAGAGGGCGACGCGCCGAACGACGGGGCAGAAGCCCGACGCGCGCCTCGGGGCGCACAGCGGGCAGAGAACCGCCGTGCGCCGCGGGGCGCACGGCGAGCAGAAAACCGCCGCGCGCCTCGGGGCGCACGGCGGGAAGAAAAACTGCCGCACGCCATGGGGCGTGCGGCTCAGAGAGTAGTGGTAGTAGTTGCAGCGGAAGCAAGGAGGTGGTAAGCCCACCCACAGGATCGATCCAAGGGGATCGACCTGCTCTGATACCATGTGAAATTTTAGAAGAAAGAAGAGGGCTGAACTAGCAAGAATGAGGATTCAAATAGCAAACCCTAGAAGGGTTGTACTCGCTATAGGGCACCCTACTACATGCTAGAGCATAAGATAACATTCTGACACAGGTTACCATGGACTTCATCACAGGGTTACCTTCGAACCCTGGGGGTAACGACGCGGTGATGGTTGTCGTTGACAGGCTGACGAAGATGGCACACTTCGCTGCGTGTAAAAAGTCGATCTCAGCCGAGGAGACCGCTCGTCTGTGTCAGAATGTTATCTTATGCTCTAGCTTGTAGTGGGGTGCTCTATAGCGAGTACAACCCTTCTAGGGTTTGCTATTTGTATCCTCATTCTTGCTAGTGCAGCCCTCTTCTCTCTTCTAACTTTTCACATGCTATCAGAGCAGGTCGATCCCCTTGGATCGATCCTGTGGGTGGGCTTACCACCTCCTAGCTTCCGCTGCAACTACTACCACTACTCTCTGAGCCGCGCGCCCCGTGGCGTGCGGCAGTTTTCCTTCCCGCCGTGCGCCCCGAGGCGCGCGGCGGTTTTCTGCTCGCCGTGCGCCCCGAGGCGCGCGGCGGTTCTCTGCCCGCTGTGCGCCCCGAGGCGCGAGGCGGGCTTCTGCCCCGTCGTTCGCCGCGTCACCCTCTAGTGGCGCCGCGACGGGCGACGGGGACCCGCGCGTCGCCCCCCGTCGCCCGTCGTGGCCTGCGCGCGGCCCGTACAGGCAGCGCGCGGCCCGTACGGACGGCGCCAGGCCCGCGCGCGGCTCTGGCCGCCTGCGCGCGGCTCGGGCATCTCTACCAGGCCCGTGGTGGGCCCGTTCCTCGCTGCCCCTGCCCTCCCCGCTGTCCCCCAGTGCTTCTACTGGCGCCCCACCCCTCCTACTCCCCATTTTCCTGAATTAGGGTTTGGGGGTGAGGGGTATGGGGGTGACTTCACTCTGTACCGTTCCCTGCTCCTCCTCCTCCTCCGTCTCCTTGTGCTGCAGCTGCCGCTGAGGGGGGGTGGACGTGTTGGAGCCGGTGGAGTAGTACTAAGGGGGGGTGAAGGGGGAGTGGAGCTAGCGGTGTAGCAGTGGGTGTGTGCCAGGGGGAGTGGGATAGTTTGGGGAAGCTGAATGGAGGTTGTCGTCGTGTCGCCAGCAGCACCTTTATTCCGGGGACTTCGTCCGGTAGCCCAGTCGTAGCCAGCTGTGCCAGTCGCCCGTGGGTCCGTTGCTCGTCTGCCGCTACTTTAGCCGCGGGGCCAGTTACTCCAGTATTCCGGAGCGTTGTTCCGGTAGCCGCTGTGCCAGTGTGCCTCCTGTTGCCCGTGTGTCTGCAGCTTCATCCGTCGCCTCTTATCTCCTCTCCTCTCACTCTCTCTCCTCCTCCTCACTTGCCCGTTGTGACCACCACTAGCTTTGCTCATAATTGTGAACTTTAAACTATTGCTTCTTGAACTTGTGCTCAGAATGTGTGGTGACATTGTGATCCACCCTGAGATTGTACTGCTTTGCTTGCTCTGCTGATTACACCCCACTTTGGCTATGGGGGTGTGTCAGAATGTTATCTTATGCTCTAGCCTGTAGTGGGGTGCTCTATAGCGAGTACAACCCTTCTAGGGTTTGCTATTTGTATCCTCATTCTTGCTAGTGCAACCCTCTTCTCTCTTCTAACTTTTCACAGTCTGTTCATCGCAGCCGTTGTTCGCCTGCACGGGATACCAGCAGCGATTACCAGCGACAGGGACACGAAGTTTACCAGCAAGATCTGGAAAAATCTCTGGGAGCAGTTCGGGACCAGGCTACAGTTCAGTTCGTCGTACCACCCCGAGACCGACGGTCAAACGGAGCGGACAAATCAGACGATGGAGCAGTTGATTCGTGCCACGTGCGACGACCCCACGACTTGGGAGCAGCTGCTGCCGCTGATCGAGTTCGCGTACAATAATGCCACGTCAGCGACGACGCAGCAGTCCCCCTTCTACCTGAACTACGGGCAAAACCCTACAGTGCCCATGACGCCGAGTCCGGACAACCCAACACCACGTGCACAGCAATTTGCCGAAATTTTGCAAGCTGCCTGCACCAGAGCCGCAGAAGCAATTAAAAAAGCAAACGTCATCGCTAAGCGCAACGCTGACCGCCACCGCCGCCCAGTCACATAGTAGTCAGGGGATTACGTACTACTCGACACGCAAAATCTGCGATTGCCCGACGTACCAAAACTCCGACCGCGCTACTGTGGCCCATTCCAGATCAGCCACATGATCACGCCAGTAACCGCGCACCTACTGCTACCGACCGATTGGTACATCAGCCCTTCGTTCCACGTTAGCTTGCTTCGCCCCTACATCCCAACCACAAGCCAACTGCCTCGCCACCCGATCATCGCGCCCGAAAAAATCCTGAGCCATCGGATTCGACACCCCACGGGAATAAAGAGGATTGAATTCCTCGTTCCCTGGAAAGATCGCACGCCAACTGAGGACAGCTGGGTGCCCCTGGCCAACATCGAAAACCACCCTGCCCTGCAAGTGTACCTGAGGAGCCGAGGCTTCCGCGATATACACGCAATCGCGTAGCGGAGGGGGCTTCTTGAGGGGGGGGGGGGGGTAGTGTAAGGAATTTTCTCGATATTCCTTAGCGCACCCTGCAACATCGCGTACAACAGCAGCCGTTGTTCGCCCGTTACTGCTAACGGGGCTTCGCCGACTTCGCGCACACTGTTTCACCAAACCTCGCACTGCCGTGTCGGCCTACGCTTCGGGACTAGCCCGAGCCTCGCTTCGAGCGTAGCACTAGCTAGCTCGCACGCACCGCTTTACTGTTTGCATGTTTTGCGTATAAATGTTTGCTCATGCCTTCGCTCACATTTTTTACTCGTTTGACACCTTAGTGCAATTCTCTCTACTTCGAACCATTGCACCCGTAACAGTGTTCAGTTTTCAGCTCTCTTTCATACTGGCACGTCATTTTCGTGCAGCCAAGGCTCGCTGCTGACGAATAGAATCGACGCTGCGTGCGTGTCGCTGTGGCTGAACCAAGCCTCTGTAGGCTTGGGTACGACCAAACCTACAAATTCTGTTTTTCATCAACCACCTCCCAGTCCCAACTTTCCCAGCCAAACTGGTGTCGCAAATGGTTAGTAAGTAACAGAGACATCACTTCGTGAACGTCTTTTCTCCCTGATCGGCTGATTTTCATGGCTTATCCCGCTTTTGGCGGTTGCTCCATCTGTAAACTCCGACTTCGTCGCCTCGCCGATTCGGCCAATACACTGGCGAAGAAATGTGATACGAGACGTGTGACGCTAGCGATGACCAGAACTTGAACGCTAGCGACGTACGGAAGAAGCGTGCGACAGCGATGTTTGTTCGCACGGAGGGACCAAGTTTAGCTCGCAAGCAAAAGCAAGGGCCATTCCCAAGAAATCAGTCCCCAAGGTTCCGCAATCTGCATCTGAACCACTAGAAAACCTATTCACACCGAACCTAAAGCCGTCTTAGCTAGGTGACATCTATCTAACTGTAAGCTGTCCCGGCAAGTTCAAGGCTTGGAAGTTTCAACCACACAAAAAAAAGTGCAACCAGGAAAACACCAAGGGATGAGCAACTAACTGGTGCTCCATCCCAGTCAACATCACCGCTGTTTAGAAGACATACGGATGATACTAGTAGCCTTGATATATTGACGAGCGAGAGAGTGTGTGTTTCCGTTGCACCCAGTAACTTGCGTCGCGAGCCGATTGGATCGCGTTCCTTTCGTTCCTACTGTTGTTTTGAGCTCATCCAGGCCGCAATTGCTTCGCCATGTCGCTTTGACGGAATAAATCAGTATCGTTCCGGGGAATGCTGGGGGGAGAGCGGCGGTGGTTGCCGTAAATGGCCGTCGTTAGTTATCCAGAGCGAATAGCTTGTGGCGTTCTCCGGCATTTAAGAGACGATCGACCTCCGCGGGTTCGTTCGCTCGTCGCAGTCGCACCCTAATCAGGCTTCCGCGTTTCCTTCGCAAAGCGCGCCATGTGTTTCAAACCCTAATCCCAACCAACACACCTTGTCTAGCCATGTCCTTCTGAAAGGCTTTCGTAAGCGACCTAATGTATTCCCTTTTCAGTTGTCTTCACTGTCATTACCTCATCCATTTCAACCCTTCATGTCTTCTTCCCCTCTACCCTCCACTCGCGTTTATAATCCCGTTTTATTCCAGAGTCGTAGGCGATTTCTTCTTCATTGGAGCTGCAGAGTAGTAACATTACTGAAGCGGAACTAGGACCCTAAACCAGGAGGAAATTGGCAGCAGAAGCTGCATGAATGGACGGGAATGGGGAGTGGGGCCCCGACGGCGGCTCCGCGTTCAACGGCGCGACAGGCGGCGGGATTGTCGGCCATGGCGGCCAAGGCGGTCACGGAGATTACGCCGAGGAAGGTGATTACGGGGAAGAGGACGGCGCGTATGAGGATTATTTGCCGGAGGACGGCGGCCCTGGTCCTCCGCACGCCCAAGGCGGAGAGGAGTACGGGGAGTACGCGGAGTATGGGGAAGAGGGCGCGGGGATGAGCGGAGGGTACGCGGAGCAGCAGGGGTATATGGAAGAGGGGGGATACGGGGGGGATGGTGGTGAATATGGAGGGGAATATGAAGGGCAGGAGGGATATGAGGGACAGGAAGGATATGAGGGGCAAGAGGGTTACGAAGGTCAAGAGGGTTACGAGGGAGAAGAATACATGGAGCACGAGATAGGTGACCAGCAGTACGACGAATATGGTAACCCTATTGGCGAAGGAGAGATGTACGACGAATATGGTAACCCTATCGGCGGAGAGGAGCTGTTAACCCAGCAGCAACAGCAGCATCAGCATCAGGGGCAGTACCATGCGCAGGGTCCTGGTGGTGTAGCCATGTCACCCCATGGCTCGCAAGGAAGCTACAGGGAAGGGCCTAGCCCGGGGAGAGGATCGGCAGCAGCAGCAGCAGGGATGGTGCCTCTGCAGCAGCAACAGCAGGAGCAGTATGAGGGGGAGTATGACGATCAGGAGCAGTATGCGGAGGGGCATCAGGAGGGGTATGAGGGCGAGGAGGGGTATGAGGGTCAGGAGGGTTACGGAGGGGAGGAGGGGTATGAGCAGGAGGGGCAGGAGGGAATGGTGTATGGACAAGGGCAGCACGAGCAAGGGGATTATGAAGATGGGCAGTATGAGGAGGGGTATGGCGATCAGCAACAGTACGGCAATCAGCAGCAATACGGAGAGCAGGGTCAATACGAAGGGCAGGAGCAGTATGAGGGCCAGGAGCAGTATATGGAAGGGGAGTATATGGAAGGGCAATACCCAGAAGATGGGCAGTATGAGCAAGGGCAAGGGGACATGGGGTACGAGGGGGAAGAAGGGGCGGTGTATGAAGGCGAGGTGTGCACCTGTGAGGAGTACGGTGGAGTCCCCCACGAGCCTCATGATTTCCATGATGATAATGGTATCAGAGCAGGAGGATACGAAGGCCACGACCCGGGGGGGGTTGGGAACGGGCAGGGGTATGCTGAGGGAGGGATGGAGGGGGAGGAGTATGTGGAGGAGGGGTATATGATGGGGGAGGAGGGGTATGGTGGGCATGAGGGAGGGTATGTGAACGAGTATGGGGAGCAGGTGGAGTGGGTGGAAGGGGAGGAAGGGTACGTGGGGGAAGGGGGAGGGGAAGGGATGGAAGGTCATGACGGGATGGGGGGTATGGAAGGGATGGGGCACTATCCCGTGGGAGCAGCAGGGATAGGTGTTTCTGGTGCTGCTGCTGGTGCTGTAGGTGGTGGTGGTGGTGGTGGTGCTATGTACGGGGAAGACGAGGGGGATGAGGATGATGCTGATGGGAGGATAGAACATGAGATAGATGAGGAGGATGAGTTTGGCGCGTATGACCTTGCACTGAGGAAGCACCTATCGGGGATTCCAGAGGGGGACGAAGAGGCAGAGGCGGAAACGCCTGCTCCGCGGGCTAAGGGGAAGTTTGTTCTTCCATCCATGCTGGAACAGGGTGGGAGGATTGAGGAGGGGAGTGATGAGGGCGGGGGAGGGGACTGGGAGGAAGGGGATCGGGAGGAGGACGAGGAGGGAGAGGAGAGGGAAGGGGAGGAAGGGGAGGAGGAGGATGAGGTACGGGGCAGAAGGGAGCATGGGAGAGGGGGTCGAGGGGAGCAGGAGGGTTATCGAGACGGGGAAGGGGAAGGGGAAATGGAAGGGGATGGGGAAGCGCAAGGTCCGGGGTCAGTGGTCTCGTTCGAGAGCGGTGAAGAAGGGTTGGATGAGGATGAGCAGGCTAGAGGAGTGGTGGAGAGCCGGATAGTGGAGTCAGGTCGGGCTTTAAACAAAACGAGCACTGGTTCTGGTTCTACGAGAGAGAACGAGACAGGATCTGTGATAGAGAGGGATACCGCTGCTAAGAGCTGGGGTAAGTTTGCGCACCCTGCGTTGGGTAGGGGAGGGAGGAAGAACGGGGGGAGAGTGAATGGGGAGGTGAAGGGGGAGTATGGGGGAATGAATGGGGATGTGTTATATGAAGATGATGAGGAGGGATATGGGGAGGATGAGTATGGGGAGGAGGGGTATGGAGAGGAAGGGTATGGGGAGGGGTATGGGGAGGAAGGAGAGATGGACGAGGAGGGAGAGAGGTATATGGAATATGAAGGAGAGGAGGGGTATGGGGAGAGGAGGGGGAGATCGGGTGGCGAGGAGGAGAGGGAGGAAGGGGGAGAGAGCGGAGGAGAGGGAGAGGGCGAGGGAGGGGGAGAAAGCGGAGGAGAGGGAGAGGGCGAGGGTGGGGGAGGGGGAGAAGGAGAGGGAGGGGGAGGGTTTGCGTTGCTGTCAATGGGGAAAGATGTGCCATTGGCGTTGGAAGGTCAGCCTGTGGATTATTCGGTTGGGGATCTGGAAAAAGCCTTTCGTGCCATGCAGGGTGGAGGAGGGGCAGCGGGAGGGGCAGAGGGGGCGGGAGGGTCCCTTGCTTCTGCCTTCTCCGCTGCAGCAGCAGCAGGAGCGGGAGCAGGAGCGGCGGACGCGAGAGCAGAGAAGGGTGGTGGTGGTGGCAAGTCGGGACAGAAAGGGAGTGGAGGGGGAGGAGGAGGCGGAGGGGGTTTTGCTCTGCTAGAGCTACAGGATGGGATCGATGGGTTGATTGGGCAACCTGGGCAGCGGATAGATGATTCTGTTGGGGATTTGGAGAAGGCTTTTAGGCAAATGCTGGGCGGGAAGCTGGGACAGGGGCAGGGGCAGGGGGTGCAATCGGGGGGCAGAGGTGAAGCAAGGGGAGGTGATGAGGAAGGGGAGGAAGGGGAGGAGGGGGAGGAGGGAGAAGAGGGAGATGAGGGAGATGAGGGGGCTGGGATGAGCTTAATGGATAGAATGAATCAGCTGCAGCAGATGCAGGGGGGCGGGGGCGGGTTGGGAAGTCAGATGGGCGGGTTTGGAGGCATGGGGAGTCCTATAGGTGGTGGCGGCGGCCTAGGCAGTCCCATGCTGGGAAATGGTTTAGGCAGCCCTGCTTTCGGTGGGCTGGGTAGCCCTCTTTCTGCTCTCAACAGCCCCATGGGTTTCCCTTTGCAAGAGAAGTTTCAGGGGCAGGGGGAGGGGAAGGGAGAGGAGAGGGGTGGAGAGGAGGGCGACGAGGAGGGGGATGAAGAGGAGGAGGAAGAGAACAGGGAGGAGGAGGATTTGCCTCCTACCCCTGTTCCTGCGAATGCGCTGCAGCTTATGATGCGTGAGAGTAAGAAGTTTATGGAAGCTGAGGATGAGAGTGATGATGATAGCTTCGCACAGGAGGCGAGGGAGCAGGCTGAGCTAGAGGCAGCAGCTGCTGCAGCCGCAGCAGCAGAAGCAGCAGGAGGAGGAGAGGCGGAGGAAGAGGAGGGAGATGAGGAGGGAGGGGGAGGTGGTGCAGGTGGGTTTGGTATTATGGATCGGTTGTTGAGTTTCCAAGAGGGGTTGGAGGATGGCGAGGGGGGTATGGGGGGTGGGATGGGGTTTGGCGGGTTTGGGGGGTTTGGGGGATTTGGCGGAGGGGGTGATGGGGGTGTGGGGGGGGCAGGAGGGGGAGGGGGAGGGGGTGGAGAAGGAGGGCTTATGGGTGCATTTGCCCGACTGCAACAGGCTTCTGGTGGACAAGGGGGAGGTTTTGGCAGGGACGGAGGTGAAGGGAGGGAGGAAGGAGGTGATATGGACAGGGACGGGGATGGGGAGGAGGAAGGGGGTTTTGGGAGTGAGGGAGAGGGGAGTGTGCTGGAGCATGATATAGAGGAAGAAGGGGAGGGGGAGGAGGAGTATGGGGAGGAGGAAGAGGGGGAAGAGGGGATGGGTGAGAGGGGAGGAGGGGGGCGTGGTGGAGGTAGGGGATGGGGGTTTCCAGGAAGGAGCAACGGAGGAGGACCAGAGGAATACGATGGGGAAGGGGAGGAGAATGGGGAAGGAGAAGGAGAGGTGGAGGAGGGGGAGGAGGAGGGAGAGAGAGGTGGTGATGGGGAAGAAGGGTATGATGAGGATGGTCCACAAGACATGGGGTATGGTGGAGAGGGGGAGGAGTACCAAGGGGAATACCAAGAGGAATACCAGGGAGAAGGTGGGGCGGAAGGTGAAAGGGAGGGGTATGATGAGGAGCAGGAGAGGTATGATGGGGAAGAAGAGGGGATGCAGCAGGAATATGGAGACCAGCAGTACCACCAGGAGGGGCAATACGAGGAGGGGCAGTATGGCGAGGAGGAGCAATACGGTGAGCGATTGGAGGGGCAGTTGGAGCAGGGGGAGATGGGCGGGTTGAGTCAAGAGCAGCAGGATTTAGATCCTGAGCAGGAAGGGTTTTACTCTGATGAAGCAGGTGGGCAGGTCTATAACGAGGATGGGTATGAAGGGCAGGGAGAGGCGCAGGAGTATGGGGAAGGTGACAGGGAGGGGTATGGTGGAGAAGGGGAGGGGAATGAAGGGAAAGGGATGCATGAGGGGGAGTATATGGAAGGAGAGGGGGAGCATATACATGGGGAGGAGTATTTAGAGGGAGAGGGAGAGTATGCGGAAGGGGAAACGGGGGAGTATAAGGAAGGGCAGGAGAATTTTGTGGACGAGAATGGGCAGTACGTGGATGAAAACGGGCAGCTGGTGAATGAGAATGGGCAGTATGTGGATGAAAACGGGCAGTTGGTGAATGAGAATGGGCAGTTTGTGGATGAAAACGGGCAGCTGGTGAATGAGAATGGGCAGTATGTGGATGAAAACGGGCAGTTGGTGAATGAAAATGGGCAGTTTGTGGATGAAAACGGGCAGCTGGTGAATGAGAATGGGCAGTATGTGGATGAAAACGGGCAGCTGGTGAATGAGAATGGGCAGTATGTGGATGAAAATGGGCAGCTGGTGAATGAGAATGGGCAGTATGTGGATGAAAACGGGCAGCTGGTGAATGAGAATGGGCAGTATGTGGATGAAAACGGGCAGCTGGTGAATGAGAATGGGCAGTATGTGGATGAAAACGGGCAGTTGGTGAATGAGAATGGGCAGTTTGTGGATGAAAACGGGCATTTGGTGAATGAGAATGGGCAGTATGTGGATGAAAATGGGCAGTTGGTGAATGAGAATGGGCAGTATGTGGATGAAAACGGGCAGCTGCTGAATGACAATGGGCAGTACGTGGATGAAAACGGGCAGCTGGTGAATGAGAACGGGCAGTATGTGGATGAAAACGGGCAGCTGGTGAATGAGCATGGGCAGTATGTGGATGAAAACGGGCAGCTGGTGAATGAGAATGGGCAGTATGTGGATGAAAACGGGCAGCTGCTGAATGAGAATGGGCAGTATGTGGATGAAAACGGGCAGTTGGTGAATGAGAATGGGCAGTTTGTGGATGAAAACGGGCATTTGGTGAATGAGAATGGGCAGTATGTGGATGAGAACGGGCAGCTGGTGAATGAGAATGGGCAGTATGTGGATGGAAACGGGCAGCTGGTGAATGAGAATGGGCAGTATGTGGATGAAAACGGGCAGCTGGTGAATGAGAATGGGCAGTATGTTGATGAAAACGGGCACCTGGTGAATGAGAACGGGCAGTATGTGGATGAAAACGGGCAGCTGGTGAATGAGAATGGGCAGTATGTGGATGAAAACGGGCAGCTGGTGAATGAGAATGGGCAGTATGTGGATGAAAACGGGCAGCTGGTGAATGAGAACGGGCAGTATGTGGATGAAAACGGGCAGCTGGTGAATGAGACTGGGCAGTATGTGGATGAAAACGGGCAGCTGGTGAATGAGAACGGGCAGTATGTTGATGAAAACGGGCACCTGGTGAATGAGAACGGGCAGTATGTGGATGAAAACGGGCAGCTGGTGAATGAGAACGGGCAGTATGTTGATGAAAACGGGAGGCTGGTGGACGAAAACGGGCAGTACATAGATGAAACCGGGCAGTACGTGGATGAGAACGGGCAGTACTTACAAGAGGATGGGGCAGGAGAATTAGGGTTTGACGACGGGGGAGGGTTTATGAGTGACGGGATGGGAGGGATGCGGAGAGGCACACCTTTAGAGGTGGTGTACGAGGAGGGGGAGGAGCAGCTGGAGGAGCAGGAGGATGAAGGGGAGGAAGGAGAGGGGTATCGCCAGGAACAGGGTTATAGTGATGGGCAGGGTTATAGTGACGGGCAGGAGCAGTATGAGGACGGTCAGGGCAGCTTCATTGAACGGCCGGATGTGGAGCAGCAGGAATCATACGGTGGAGATGCGCTGGGCAGCTTTATTGAACGGCCGGATGTGTCTGGTGATGGTCAGGGGAGCTTCATTGAACGGCCAGGTTATGAGGGGGGGGAGGAGGAGGGGTATGGAGGAGAGGAGGGGGAGTATGGGGAAGAGGAGGGGGTAGGGTATGTGGATGCAGATGGGAACTACGTGGAGCAAGGGCAGCAAGGGTATGTGGATGAAAATGGAAATTTCGTGGAAGGAGGGCAAGGGTACGTGGATGAGAATGGAAATTTCATCGAAGGAGGGCAAGGGTATGTGGATGAGCATGGAAACTTCGTGGAAGGAGGACAAGGATACGTGGATGAGAGTGGAAACTTCGTGGAAGGAGGGCAGGGGTATGTGGATGAACATGGGAACTTTGTTCCGATGCATGAGGGGGAGTTTATGGAAGGAGGAGAGGGATACGTGGATGAAAATGGTAACTTTGTACAGCAGGGTCAAATTCAGCAGCAGCATCAGCAGGAGCAGCAGCAAGGTTACGTGGACGAGAATGGAGATTACATCACAGAACAGGGGGGGGTGGGGGAAGGAGAGGGGGAGGAAGGAGGAGAGGGCCAAGGCCCTCTCAGTCCCATGGGGGGGTTTATGTCTGGACAGGGGATGATGGGAGGCGGGCATGCGGGCATGGGTCCTGGGTTCGGGCCGATGAGTGCCATGGCTCCCCTGTCCCCCGCGTCTCCCATGGGAGCAGGCAATTCCATGAGTTTTGCATCTGAGGAGCAGCATCAGGCGTATGGGCATGGGCAGGGGCAGGGGCAGCAGTATTATGAGGAGGGGCAGGGGGAGCTAGGGCCTATGAGTCCCATGTCCCCGTATGGCAATCAGGGGCAGCAGCAGGAGCAGTATGGTATGGGCGTTCTTGGCAGCCCTATTGCAGGAGGAGGAGGAGGAGGAGGCGGAGGTGGCGGTGGCATGTTTCCGCCCAGTCCCCGCAGCCCCCACATGCCCATGCACCCGCCTTCCCCCAGCCAAAAGTTCCTGCAGCAGCAACAGCAGCAGCAGGGGCAGCAGGGACGGCGCATGATACGGCACGACTCGTCCCGATCGTTTGACGACCGGGCTTCCAGCAGTCGGATGTCTTTCACCGAACGCGACAACAGACCCTTCCCTGGTGCTGGTGTTGGTGATAATTATGCTGGTAGTTCTGCCCCTGGACTCTCCCCTACTGCCTACTCCCCTGTAGACTTTTCCGGCCGCCCCAACCCCCCCTGGGCCTCAAGCCCTGGGGGAATGGGGGGGCGGGGGGGAGGGAGAGGCGGCGCACACAGGGCAGGGAGCAAGTCGTACGGGGGGGAGATGGACAGATACACAGGGAGGGAGCGGTGGGCGATGGGGCAGGGGATTGAGCTGGAGCGGCCGAAGAGCCGGCAGGGGGGGTATGATGAGAATGGACGGCCGGTGAGTCGGCAGGGTGGGTATGATGAGAACGGGAGGCCGTTGAGTCGGCAGGGGGGATATGATGAGAACGGGAGACCGTTGAGTAGGAGAGGGTCGAGGGATGATGAGCGGCCGTTGAGTCGGCATGGTGAAAGACCGAGTAGCAGTAGGTCGTTTAGAGGCGGGTATGATGGGCTGATGTCGCCACAGCAGCAGCAGCAGCAGCAGCAGCCGCCGCCGTGGCAGCAGCAGCAGCAGGAGCAGCCGCCGTGGCAGCAGCAGCAGGAACAGCCGTGGCAGCAGCAGGGGATGGGCAGTGCGAGCAGCAGCATGCATGGTGGATCGGTTCAGGAGCGGGGTTCGTTCCAAGAGCGAGGGTCGTTCAAAGAAAGGGGGTCTTTTCAAGAAAGGGGATCTATGCAGGAAAGAGGGTCGATGCAAGAACGAGGGTCGTTTCGGGAAAGAGGAGTGAGACCGGGCTCGTTCCGAGAACGACCAGGACAGGGATCCTTCCGGGAAAGAGGCTCGTTCAGCGAGCGAGGGTCCTTCCAGGAAAGGGGATCGTTTCGCGAGAGGCAGGGGCAGGGGGGGGGCATGGGGCAAGGGGAATCGGACGATCCTTATGCGGAGGAGGCATATATCTCAGAGAAAATGCCCACGCTAAGAGCAGAAGGGTTGCCGGCAGCCGCTAGGGGCAGCGGTGGAGGAGGGGGAGGGGGAGGGGGAGATGGAGGAGGAGGATATGGGCGTAGACTGTCTGGGAGCCGAGACGGGCAGCAGAACGAGGAGTTTGCGTTCGGGCAGCTGGGAGGGGGCGGAGGGGGAGGAGGAGGAGGGATGTATGCAGTGCCTGAAGAGGGCGAGGAGGAGGAAGAGGAGGATGAGGATGACTCTCCCAGTCCGGAAATGGTTACCAGAACCACCAGTGTGCGATCGAGCCGGTCCGGAGGGTCGAGATATTCTCGAGATGGGGCTGATGGGGGGCTGAGTGGAGGGAGCGAGGGCGAAGGCGAGGGGAGTCCCATGGGGGGTGGTGGATTCGCGTTCGGAGCTTCAGCTCCTGGTGGTGGGGGAGGTGGTGGTTTGGGGGGTTACGGGGGAGATTATGGAGGGATGGGCGGAGGAGGAGGAGGGGTGGGAGGAGTGGGGGTTGCGGGGCAGTATGGGGAGTTTGGGGGAGGGTTAGGGTTAGGGTTGATAGGAGGGGAGCTGGGACCAGTTCCCGAGGTGGATGAAGATGCATTGGAAGAAGAGGAAGAGGAGGAGGAGGAGGAGGAGGGGGAGGAGGGGGAGGAGGGGGAGGAGGGGGAGGAAGAAGGGGGGTTTTCTGCGGGAGAGTTTGATGGGCGGCAGTTAGAGGAGAGTGGTGTGGGAGAGAGTGAGTTGGAGGAAGGGGAGGTGGGGGAAGGAGAGGAGGACGGAGAGGAGGAGGGAGAGGAGGAGGAGGAGTACGGTCAAGGGTATGGGGAAGGGCACGGGGAGGAGTATGGGGAGTTTGGGAGCCCGATCGGCATGGGAGGGGCAGGGGCGATGGGGCGATATGAGATGGAGGCTGGAGATAACTTCCAGTTGCCGCCACAGCAGGGGCAAGGGCAGGGGCAGGGGCAGCAGCAACAGCAGGGAGGGCAGGATGAGCTGAATGCGTGGCAGCAGCAGCTAACGTCTCAGATGTACTCACCTCGACCGCAGCTGCCAGCGCATCTCATGCATCAGATGGGCATGGGTGCCGGCACAGATTCTCCCTTCCAGCAGCAGCAGCAGGGGCAGGGACACGGGGGTATGATGATGCAGCTAGGCATGCTTTCCCCACGCCCGGACAGGAACCAGCAGCTGCTGGTGCATGCGCCAATGCTGCAGCCGGGGCAGGGACAGGGACAGGGACAGGGACAGGGGCAGCAGCAGCAGCTGCAGCCGGGAGCAGGGGTTGCGCCCCAGGCCCCTCTACAGGCAGTGCAGCCGCAGCAGCCGTCCCCACCAGCCAAGAAACGGTCTCCCAGGCAGCAGAAGCAGCAGCAGGCGCAGCAGCAGCTGCTGCAGGCTCAGAAGGCTGCTAGCTCCCCGTCCCCCCTCTCCCAGCAGCAGCAACAGCAGCAGCAGCAGCAGCAGCAGCAGCAGCAGCAGCAGCAGCAGCAGCAGCAGCAGCAGCAGCAGCAGCAGCAGCAGCAGGTGCAGGTATCAGGGTCACCCGTGCAGCAGCAGCAGCAGAGGGCTCCAATCACGCCTCAGCCCCCTCCTCCTGAGCCCGAGGGTCAAAAGGGAGGGAAGAGGAGGCCGCAGCAGAGGAAGGGCCTGAGGAAGAACCAGCAGGGAGCAGGGCAGTTGGGTGCAGGCACTGGCGAGCAACAGCAGCTGCAGCAGCAGCAGGGGCAGCAGGGGCAGGGGCAGCAGCAGGGGCAAGGGCAGACGAGTGGTTCTGGTTCTGGTGCTGATGCTGGTGTTACTGCTGGTGGTGGTGGTGAGGGCTCTGTTGGGTCTGGTACAGGGCAGCAGAAGGCTTTGGGTAAGAAGGCAGGGAAGAAGAAGAGCAGCAGCAAGGGAAAGACGAGCAAGAAAGGAGGAGGCTCCAAGGGGCAAACAGAACAGGAGCAGCAGCAGCAGCAGCAGCAGCAGCAACAGCCGACAGCAATCAAGTCTCTAGAAGAGTTAGATGCTCTCAAGTCAAGTGCGCTTGCTCCTCTCTCCACCAAGAAAAAGCAGTCATCAGCCGCAGCAGCGGCGGCTGCAGGAGCAGCAGGGGAAGGGGGCGAAGCAGGGGCGCAGGCAGGAAGAAACAGAGGAGGAGGCAATGAGAGGGTGTCGATACACGAGGGTGCGACGCCACGGCTGAGTGCGTATGACCCCTGGGAGGACGAGGAGACTCGCATGCTAGAAGCAGCAGAAGCAGCAGACAGTATTGCAGGCGGAGCAAGGGGAGCAGGAACAGCAGCTGGTCCTACTGGTTCTGGTGCTGCTGTTGGTGGTGTTGCTGCTGCTGCCGCTGCAGCTACTGTGGGTTCGCCCTTCCAATGGCCTGCTGTCGCCCCCTCCTTTTCCACCCTCGCCACCTCCCCCATGGATCATACAGCTGAGGATACTGCGAGTACTCGGACGAAGCGGAAAGGGAAGGGGGCAGGGAAAGGGGCCAAGAGCGCTGAGGCTAGGCTGCAGGGGAGGAGCAGGAGGGAAGGGGACGAGGCTGCGGCTTCGGCCGGTGGAAAGAAAGGCAAGGGGAGAAAGGCAGCGGCAGGAGGTGCTAGTACTGAAGCTGATTCTATGGAGAACAATCGGATTAGCTCCAGTGGTGGTGGTGGTGGTGGTATAACTCGTAGTGGTAGTAGTAGGAATAGCATTATTGAGGCAGCTTTACGGAAAGGGTTGGCTAGGCGGGGTAGGCAGATTCATGCTGACCTGGCTGCTGCTGTGGTGACAGCGGCGGCGGCGGCAGCAGCAGCAGCAGTGGAGGCAGCAGCGAGAACACCAGGCACTTCTGTTGCTTCTGCTGCAGCAGCGGCAGCGGCAGCGGCGGCGGCTGCAGGGGCGGAGGCTGTGGAGCAGAGCTCTTTGGGTAGGCTGAGACGGCAGCAGGTGAAGGCAGGCCCGGTGTCTCCTTCTTTGTCTGCAGAATTGAATGCGAAAGCAACAGGAGCAACAGCGGCAGGAGGAGGAGGAGGAGAAGCGGCAGGGAGGGTGGAGAAACACGGAGGAAAGAGCCAGCAGCAGCAGGGGCAGCAGGTGCAGCAGCTTCGTGGTAACATGCTACCCACTGCTGTCAGTGTGCTGAAAGCTAGCTCGCTCCTTGCTGGACCAAGCACCACTGCTGACTCTCCTGCTGCTTCTGTTTCTGCTGCCTCTCCCGCTGCTTCTTCCGCTGCTGCCTCGTCATCTGCAGCAGCAGCAGGAGGAGGAGCAGGAGGAGCAGCAGGAGCAGCGGGATCAAGAGGCATGCCTCGTGGGGACTCGGCTATCTTTGACTCTCTACCCATGGGACCAGTGCAGGTGCAGGGGTACTATGCTGGAGAGGATGGGATGTTACATAACAGCCCTGGCACCGGCAGCAGCAACGGCCGCAACGCTGCCACTGCTGATACACCACCAGGAGCAGGAGCAGGAGCAGGAGCAGGAGGAGGAGGAGGTGCGCTGCTTGCAGAGGGCCCTGATTCCTTTGTGGACTTGAATCTGGAAGAGATTGGGGAGGCGGAGACAGGAAAGCAGCTCGTGTTTGCAGGGCAGGCAGTGGAGCGAGCGGGAAGGGCAGCAGGATCGAACCGAGAGAGCAGAGCGAGCAGAGCAGGCAAAGGCATGGGAGGTGCAGGTGGGAGTGCGGTGGGGGAATCAGACATGCAGGGAGCAGTGTCGGGGCGCAAGAGGAGCAGCAGTAAGGAGGCTGTTGCGAGCACACGGCGGCAGCTGTTCCCTTCGCCGCAACAGAAGAGTAAGATGAGGGATGGGCGAATGGATTGGATGCAGATGGATGAATATGCATGGACGTTTATTTGGGGTTGCAGTGCATTGGCTTACAACTGATCGCTTATCGCTTTGCTCTGCAGCTGCAGCATTGTTGGCCTTTGAGTAGCCGCTGATCCTTGCCTTTAAAGCCGTCTTTTGAGTCGACAAAAAAACCGCCTTCTGAGTCGACTCAAACATTGTCGACCTTTGGGTACCCGTGTTGATCCTCGCTTTTAAAGCCGTCTCAGTTTCACGCTTTCTTTTCTACTAGTCCCTTCCACCTCGGCTCACTTTTGTCGCCGCATTACCGAGAGCCACCGCTCTCAAGTCATGTCGAAATCAAGCAGTTGCATGTTCCCCTCTTCTTGCTGCTAACCATACCTCCTCTTCCTCCCATCCTTTCCCCACTCCCTTCCCACTCCCGTTTCCCCACAACCCCACCCCACCCACACCCACCCACCTGCCCACATCACCCCATTGCAGCAACAGTCCCGTACTACGGCTCCTTCTCCCCGGCCTCGCTCCTCTGCTCCCTTCTAATCATACCTCCTCTTCCCCCCATCCCTTCCCCACTCCCTGCAAACTCCCCCACCCACCCGCCCTCCACCCCATTGCAGCAACCGTCCCATACTACGGCTCCTTCTCCCCGGCCTCGCTCCTCCACTCCGCGCAAGTCCTGGAGCACCAGCAGCAGCGCTCTCAGGGCTACTCTGCGCTCGACCGCTCGCTCCTCACCGCCATCCTCTCCGCCCTCGACTCGCCCTGCGACTGGCTCTCCTTCTCCCTCGTCTGCAAGTCCTGGCGAGCCGTCGCTTACCACGGGCTACGCTCCCTCCGCCTGGTGCGAGGCAGGAGGGTCACCCTCGAGGGGTTAATCCGAGCCCTCGCTCACTGCCCGAACCTCACGTGTTTGGATATTCCGGGGATGTGCTTGGATCAGCCGGTAGGGAACGATCTGCTGTGTACGATTGGGTACTCGTGTCCTGATCTACGGCGGCTGTCGATCGGTGCGGATTCAGAGCTAGGGTCGACGTTTCAGGAGAGCGGGCTGGCGATGCTGTTCTCGGGGTGTACGAATCTTGTGGAGGTTAGGATTGAGGCGTTTCGAAGGCAGCACGCGCGGAGGAGCGGCGCGAGCAGCAGCAGCGGTAGCACTGGTAGTGTTGCTGGTGGTGTTGCTGGTGGCGGTGGGGGAATGAGTGGGGTGGGCCCTGGAGGCATGAGCATGGGAGCAGAGAAGTCTCCTGGTAGATCTCTAACCCCTGCAGCGGCTGTATCCCCATCAACCCCAGCAGCAACACTAGCAGCAGCAACAGCAACAGCAGCGTCTGCCCCAGCACGAGCTGCGCCTTCTGCTTTGGCATCAGCAGGACCCTCATCAGCAACAGCAGCATCAGCAGTCTCAGCAGCCGCCGCCGCCGCCACAGCAGCAGCAGCAGCAGCAGGAGGAGGGGACGACTGGGATATCTCCTATATCCCAGAATCCCTAGGTGACCTGTCCAAGCTCCAGTCCCTCTCCCTCAACTTCCACAACGGCCAGCACCACGTGCGCCTACCCGACTCCGTATCCAACCTAACCGCTCTCCACTCCCTCGAACTCGCCTTCCACTACCCCGCATCCCTCCCGCCCTCCCTCTGGTCCCTCACCAACCTCCAAACTCTCCGCCTCGTCGGCTGGAAAGGCCTGGCTTTCCTCCCCAACTGCATCGGCGACCTTCGCAGCCTCTGTACTCTTGATCTCCGCTGCTCCGACTTAGTCGACCTCCCTCCCTCCGCCGGATCCCTCCCGTTCCTCCGAGAACTAGTCTGGGAGACCAGGCGCACGCGGGAAATGGAGCTGTACGGCTCATCCATCCCGCCCTCCATAATCGCTTTCTCCGACATATCCCATCTCACGCTCAAAAACGTCTGGACCGCATCGGACGATCTGCAGCACTTGACCTCTCTCACGCGGTTAGAGCTCTGGGGCGCTAAGGGGCACTTGCGGGTGCTCCCAGAGGCTCTAGGCGAGCTAGACCGGCTGGTCTATCTCGACGTAAGAGGGTCGTTCCGTGTCGTTCCCTCCTCCATAGGCCGCCTGCGCCGCCTCGAGACCCTCATGCTGCTCAGCGAAGTTTTGGAGCTGCTGCCCGCGGAGCTCGGGCAGCTCACGAATCTCCGCGAGCTGAGGCTCGATGGGTGCCGGTCTAACCCCAAGCTGCCCGCGTCTCTCTGGACTCTCCACAACCTCCGAAACCTCTCCATGCCCTGCGACCGAGTCCCTGAAGAGATCGGTAATCTCAACTCTCTTCACTCCCTTGCAATCGAATCCGATACCCCCCGTTCCCTTGCCAACACCTTCCTCCCTGCTCCCATCGGCTGGTTGTACGAGCTAAAAGAGCTCCGGCTAGTCTGCCCCTACGTTCGCTCCCTCCCCTCCTCCTTCGTCCTTCTGGGGAACCTACTCGACCTCCAGTTGCAATTTTCCGGGCCGCTTCCGAAGAATTTCGGCGAGCTGAACTCTCTGCAGAGGCTCGTATTGGACAGCCGGGAAGTTTACGCGCTGCCCGAGTCTTTCGGGGAGATTCGCACGCTCGAGTCCCTCACTCTGGTCTGCGAAAAACTTGCGTCGCTGCCCGACTCGTTCGGGAACCTCTCCTCGCTGCGCTCGCTCACCCTCGTCCACTGTGCAAATCTTTCCACGCTGCCCGTCTCCTTCGGGAAGCTGAAAAATCTTTCCCGGTGGGAGGCGCAGTGCAAGGAGCTTTCCTGGCTGCCCGTGTCAGTGGGCAATTTAGTTTCTCTCCAAAGCTTGGAGCTTGAGAGTGATGTGATTACTCAGTTACCAGACACGTTTGGTAACCTGCGGTCACTCCGGAGCCTTCGTCTTGTGTGCCCGGCGCTGCGCTCGCTGCCTGCTAGCTTCCGGAACCTTCCGGACCTGGTGCAGGCGAATGCTGGAGTGGGCTCGTTGCTGGGGCAGTGAAGAAGCTGCAGGGAAGTTTCAGGGAAGAGCAGAGAAGCTGCAGGGGAGTTTCAGGGAAGGAGCAGTGAATCTGCAGGGGAGTTGCAGTGGGTGATTCCTCGTGTGATGATGAGATCTCCTGTGATCTGATCTGATTCTGGGTGCCTCGTGTGACTGCTGCTGTCATGTGCAAAGACTTGTGCTCTGTGTGCTTTTGCTTTGTGTGTGTGTGGTGGGGGGGGGGGGAAGGGGGTTGGGGGGAAGGTCTGGAGTGCAATGCAGACTGCAAGTTTTGCACCTTGCTTCACTTCCCCTGCTTCTTGTTCTTCTACCTCCCCGTTTCCCCTTTAGGCATTTCATTTCCCAGCTTGCCTCGACTCGCCTTTTTTGTTGCAGTTGCTAATTATTTGCTGGCTGCTTTGTGCTAGAAACTAGAGGTTGAACGGCTGGTTTTGTGTTCCAGTTAGAACTGTGCGCGCTGTTCACGGTTGCTCTAAGTTGCAACGCTTAGGTATTAATTATTGCTTTAGCTTGTTAAGATATAGAGGGATGGTCGGGGCCTAAGAGGCCTTGCCAGTCCTTGAACGACTTGAATGTATCTATGCTCTTATTTTTTTTTCAGAGTTTAGTCATGCAGATGGGTTTGCAATATGCACGAATAGGGCATTTCTGGCATTTGTTGAGAACTGGAAGCTGATTCCGTGCTTTATAATCAAGAGGCATAAACGCGTACCTGGGACTAAAACGAACAAGCCAACGCCCAAACAGATTCAGCTTTAGCGAGTACACGGCTTGCTAATGTCTCCATCCGCGATTGAAGCTGCCACTTTTTCCAGCAGCCATGGTACTGCTGGTGAACTAAGCTGGCTGTTCTTATTCCGTTCCAATCCGAGCTCAGCAACAAAAATCTTCCTGTTTCCTCACGGAACGTCCTCTTTGTCGAAGCAGCAGGAGTAGCGGGAGCAGCGCGGGTAGCGGAAGCAGCGCGGGTAGCGGAAGCAGCGCGGTTAGCGGAAGCCGGGGGAGGAATAGGAGCAGTGGGAGGAGAGCGAGGAGCGCAAGTAGCGGGATTTGCCGGTAGCAGCGCAATTAGCGGGAATATCGGGAGTAACGGGAGGAGCGGGAGGAGCAGGAGTTGCGGTGTAGCATTCTTCCTATACCGGCTAGGTTCTTATCGAATTAAGTCTACTACGATGACGGAGGTAAGGAAGCTGGGTACACGACGTGAACGTCTTCATCTGCGTATCAAGGTTATTCGTTTCAAGTGGCACGCGTTCTAGGGTTACCAGTTTCGAGTGGCTCGCGGGGGTTTGACGTACAGCGCGGGGATAGACAAGAGCGCGGACCCACAGCGCTCCCCCTTACTTACCTGCATGCCTTGTGCCCTGCTCATCGAAACCCGAGAATTTCAACAGAAGTAGGAAGCTGCTTTTCAGGCTTCTCGAAAGCTCCAGATTTTGATGATGAAAACTCAGGTTTCAAGTTGTTGATGAGACTTCCAAGAAGCAGCTCTCGAGTTTGTTTTTCAGCCTACTTTTAGGTGCCTTAAATTGCTTCTGAAGCATTAAAAGCCTTAATGCTGGCCGTCACGGCCAAGCTCAGCGTCATCCCTTCCCTGCATCCCCTCCCCCTCCCCCTCCCCTTCCCCCTGCATCGTTCCATCCCTCCCATGTTCCCCTGAGCCCCTGGTTCCCCTGTCTCCTCCCCCTTCCCCACCTTCCCCCCCCCCCCCCAAGTATTAGGTGAGTCAGGGGCTGCACTGGTGACTTTTGAGTCGACTCAAAAGTCACCTCGTTTTGAGTCGACTCAAGAGTCAGGGGCAGCACTGGTGCGAGTACTGCCGCATCTTCCCCCTTTCTTCCACTACACACAGAACTCCCTTCCCCTTTCCCCCCTCCCGCTCACCCTCTTTCCCCCACCGCCAGTACTGGGTGAGCCAGGGGCAGCACTGGTGCGAGTACTGCCGCATATTCCTGGCCAACAACGCGGCGTCCATCCGCATGCACGAGGGCGGCACCAAACACAAGGAGGCCGTCGCTGCCAAGCTCAGCGCGATACGCAGGGAGGGCAAGCAGAAGGAGCGCGAGAAGGAGGAGGCTGAGCGGGCTATTGCCGCTATAGAGGAGGTGAGAGGGTGGGGAAGATGTGAGGGGTGGGGGTGGGGGAGAAGGATGAGAGGGAGGGTGGGAGGGTATGAAGAGCATGAAGCGTGTGCGTTACAAGTGTTTTGGGGGAATGGGAGGGGGGTAGGGTAGCTAGCAGGGTGGAGGGAGTGGGTTGTTGTTTGTTGAGTGGGTTACAAGTGTTGTTATTCTCAAGAGCATGCGCGGCACAAGGAGGCCGTTGCCGCCAAGCTCAGCCCGCTATCTGCTAGGAAGGCAAGCAGAAGGAGCGCGAGAAGGAGGAGGCTGAGAGGGCTATTGCCGCGATAGAGGAGGTGGGAGGGTTTAAATGCGGGTGTAGGAATGGGGGGGGGACAGCTGGGAAGCGGCGGGGGGAAGGAGAGTGGAAGCTGATGTGAGCAGAAGCAGAGCTGTGATGAAACAGTAAGAGGTTAGTGAAACATCAGTGGTGTTGAGGAGCAGCAGAATGGAGAGGGAGTGGGTTGTTGTTTGTCGAGTCTTCTCAAGAGGCGCTTGATCCTTGAGCTGCAAGGAGATGTGTGGGGAATGGGGCAGGTGGGAGGGTGGGAGGGTGGGGCGTGGGAGGGCAAGCAGCGCAAGCATTAGCTACCCGTCTCTTAAAGCCTCCGTGTTGTTCGCCCTTCCTTTCCCACCGTCTCTCTCCCTCTCCCCGTCACGCTGCATCTCCGTGTGTGTGTGTGCGTTCAGGCAGCGAAGAGGCAGTACGAGAAGGACGTAGCGGAGCAGAGGCGGCAGCAGCACCAGCAGCAGAAGGGATCAGAGATGCAGCAGCACAGAGAAGCAGTGGCTGCAGCCGTTGCTGCTGTCGACGCCGCTTCCTCTGCTGCTGCTGGTGGTGGTGGGGAATCGGCGGGAGAGCCGACCATTCCCCCTCCACCGCCTCCCCCCCAGTCGAAAAACGTTTCTGCTGATGGTATGTTTGTCGCAACAAGTGACGTCCATTCCTTTCCTAAGGGCTGTATCTTCGCGTTTACTATTAAAATACTCCCCATCACGATGTGTGCTAAAGAATACTGACGCCTGTTCGTATCTCCTTTCTTTTCCCACCTCCCCCACCATCTCTCCCTCATGCTCCTTCCTTTCCTTTTCAACTCCCTTCCTTCCCCACATTCAATGCCCCCCCTTCTCCTCTCAACCTTCCCTCATCTCTCAACCTCCTCCCTCGCTGCACTGCCTGATCAGAGTGGGTACTGGAGGAGAGCAGCGGATACCACTACAGCCACTGCTCGGGTTACTTCTATGACTCCCAAGTCAGGGCTCCCCTCTCCACTCACTCTACTCCCCCTTCACCCGCTCTCTCCCATCACTGCTCCATCCATCAGAGTGGGTACTGGAGGAGAGCAGCGGATACCACTACAGCCACCGCTCGGGTTACTTCTATGACTCCAAGTCAGGGCTCTACTATTCAGATTCCATTGGTGCGTGCTGCCATGCCGTGCCCTGCCGCGCCATGCCGTGCCATGCCATGTGTCATGCCATGTGTCATGCCATGTGTCATGCCATGTGCTGCTGTGCCATGCCGTGCCTTGCCCCATTATGCCTGACCCACCCTGTCCCCCTCCTTCCCCATCACCACATTCCCCTCACCTCGCATCATTTTCTCCCCCTCTCCCCTCTCCCCGTCCCCTGTCACACAGCGCGCTGGTGCAGCCATCAGGAGGTATCAACCCTCTCAGCAGCCTCCCCCAGAAAGCCCTTTCCACTTTATCCTCACTCTCCCCCTCCCCCTCCCCCTCCCCGTCCCCCTCTTTCCCCCCCTCCCCGTCCCCCTCTTTCCCCCCCTCCCATTCCCTGTTACACAGCGCGCTGGTGCAGCCACCAGGAGGTATCAACCCTCTCAGAAGCCTCCCCTAGAAAGCCCTCTTCTGTGTCCTCCCTCCACAATCAAGCCTGTTCCCCATTTCCCCTTGCCCTTTTCAACCCCTCCTGTCACACAGCGCGCTGGTGCAGCCATCAGGAGGTATCCACCCTCTCAGCAGCCTCCCCCAGAAAGCCCTCCCCAGCGGCTCCTAACTCGCAACAACCCACCACTGCTGGCACCACAGCTGCCCGGAAAAACCCTGCCGGGGCAGGCGGGCCTGCCCCAGGCCCCGTTCGGGCAGGCGCCAAGAAAGCTGTGGGCGGGAAGGCGGTGGTGAAAGGGGTGGCTTCGTCGGTTGCGTGTGATCCGAATGCGAGGAAGCGGGGGAGGAAGTTGAGTGAGGAGGAAGAGAAGGCGTTGGCTGCAAGGGAGGCTGCGAGGAGGAGAACGCAGGAGCGGGAGAAGAAGAGCCTTGGCCTGTACTCCTCTTATTGAAGTTTTTGGCTCAGTTTCATACATGCTTTCCCTGAACCAAGGTTTTTTTATTTCTTGTATAAGTCACCTACTTAGGCATTGAGGTGTCTGGTTCTTGCATTGAGGTGCATATTTCTTATATTTGGGGGAGGGGGGGGAGGGAGTTGTACCGTATGATGAACTCATCGTTTTCATAATCAGGTTACAAAGGTAGCTTCTAAGCTTGACGTTCGGTTCGGACTTAATGGTTATGAAAGTAGTTTGCTCCTGCAGTACTTCGGTAATACCCATGCCAAAATTACCTTCCAACCTGAAAACATACGGTAATTCCATTGCCATATACAGTGTACAAGCTAGGGAAAACAAAACTGACACAGTAGCAGTTGCGGAGAATGAACAAAACCAAGGATGAGAACCAAGCAATAGCAAGCACAGCAGCAACCAGTGTGAGAAAGAGATCAGGGGTATGGATGAGAATACGCAAGATGACACAGATGGGTAGGTACTATGTGAAATGCCACGATATGGAATGGAACATGTATAATGCACCCCCATATGTACACTGTACCACGTTTGCCATGCATGATGCAGATGCAGCGGTTGGGCATTGTGGCGAGAAGCACTCTCACACACAAGCCGGTCCCCACAGAGGAGCAGCAGGAGCTAAGGCACCCAGAACCAGGTAGAGAGAGGCAGATGGATGGAGAAACAGAGGGCAGAGGTCGGAGCGGAGAACCTGCGCCAAGCACGCACTTCTACTCTACAGCCTTGCCTCGGGCACAAACTGCATGATGTAAGGATACGCGTCCAGGGTCAAGAAATCACCCAGGGTCGGCGCCAGGCACTGGCTCGCAAACAGCGCTGCAGCTTCCTGAAACCTTCCCGAGGCGAATCTCTTCGCCCCCACTTCCTGCTGAATGCGCTGCAGTTCCTCCTGAACCACCTGGCTGAACAACTCCTTGGTAACTTTCACGGGCACCAGCTCACCGTCCAGCACCGCTCCGTACCGCAGCCACTGCCAGTTCTGCACGCGGCTGATCTCAGCCGTTGCTGCGTCCTCCATGAGGTGGTACAGCGGCACGGATCCGGATCCCGTCATCCACGCCTCGATATACTGGATGCCGACGCGCGTGTTAACGCGCAGACCGTCCAGCGACTTAGTCCCCTTGGGCATCGCGATTAGGTCCTCCGCGGTGACGCGGACGTCGTCGCGCGCGCGGTCCATCTGGTTGGCGCGTGGCATGCCCGCGTTGAACACGTCCAGCACAAGCGGCACGAGCCCGGGGTGTGCCGCCCACGTGCCGTCGTGCCCCGCGTCCACCTCGCGCTGCTTATCCGCCTTAACCTTCGCGAACGCCGCCGCGTTCGCAGCGGGATCGTCCTTGATCGGGATCTGCGCCGCCATGCCGCCCATCGCGTGCACGCCGCGCTTGTGGCACGTCTGAATCAGCAGCTCCGTGTAGCTCTTGAGGAAATGCTGCGTCATCCCCACCTGATGGCGGTCCGGCAGCAGGCGATCCGGGTGCGCGCGAAACGTCTTGATAAAGCTGAAGATGTAGTCCCAGCGTCCGCAATTCAGCCCCGCGGAATGCTCCCGCAGCTCGTACAGAATCTCGTGCATCTGAAACACCGCTGGCAGCGTTTCAATCAGCACCGTCGCCTTGATCGTGCCACGTGGCACGCCCACGCGGTCCTGCGCGTACTCGAAGACGGCGTTCCAGAGCGCCGCCTCGCGCGAGTGCTGCATCTTCGGAAGGTAGAAGAAAGGACCCGCGCCGCCGTGCGTGGCGCGGAACTTGGCGTGATTGTGGAAATAATAGAGGCCGAAGTCCATCAGGCACCCGGGGACAGGCTGCCCGTCCACCTCGAAATGCGCCTCTGCGGAGTGGTGGAGGTGAGACGGAGAGACGACGACGACATAGCGAAAAGAAAGGCGAAGATTAGATTTAAGTCAAGTGGTCTGTCTGGTAGACCTGTCTAGCGCTCATGGTGAAAATGGTAATTATGGCAGTCAAGACTGAGGAAGCGGGCAGATATTGAAATCGTTTCCTGTTACATGCGGCCATTCTTGCAGCATTGGTGCGAATTCAAAGAGGAAACAGCTCAGGTACAACTATACCTTGACAAAGCAGACCACTATTACTAGTGTTAGTGATTGATTCGAGGGTCATGACGGCCAGTCATGCAATTACACGGCCAGCGGGCGTACCTTTGAGGTGCCATCCGCGGGGGCGCACGAGCATGACGGCGGTCTTGTCGTTAAGCTTGTACGTCTTGCGGCGGGCCTTGTCCTCGTACGAGATGGTGCCGTTTACGGCATCGCGCAGGTTCACGTGCCCGTCCATGATCCGCTCCCACGTGGGCGCCAACGAATCCTCAAAGTCAGTCTGCGAGCAGTGAAGGTAACGAAGAATAAGGAGAGAAATGAGCGAAAGAAGTGATGAACAGAGAGACGAAACGAATTCGTGATCTGATACGCAAGGGCAAGCTGAAATGCGTCTTGTAACCTCATTCTTGCATCAATCTCTCCGGTAAAACATTCCCAAACGAGGAGGAACAGCCAAAGCACCCACCATGAACATCTTCGCGCCGGAGTTGAGCGCGTTAATCACCATCTTGCGCTCCACAGGCCCGGTAATCTCCACGCGACGGTCCAGCAGCACCTGCGGAGTGGGCGCGCACTTCCAGTCACCCTCGCGGATGGCCTTGGAGCACGCAGCGAACGTGGGGAGCTCCCCCGCGTCGTAGTGCGCCTGGGTCTCCGCGCGGCAGCGCAGGATGTAGTCGACGCGCGGGCGGAACGTGCGGACGAGATCCACGACGAACTCGACAGCCTCTGCATCGCGGCAGAGGAAAACGACAAGAGTAACAAAAAGATGAGCGGGGGAAACTCTTTGTCCCAATTAATGAAGGCATCTCGTCGTGGTTATTCCAGCAGGCGAACCTGCAAGAACTGACGGATCGTTATTCCAACCGAAGGGAGGCAACCTTCATAAACTAGTGAATCTTCAATTAAATGGGCGAAGGATGTGAATTTCCTGACGACTGCAAGATGGCCGGAGGAGTAGTACCTGGGGTCAGAATTTCCTGGTACGCGGGCTTCATCACACCGCGAACGCGAACGCCGGCAGGCAACTTCACTTGCCTCACCGTCGGGATGCTCTCAGGGAACGAGTAATGCTCCATGCTGGCCTCTTCACCGGCGGATAGTCTAGCCGCAACCGGAACGATGCGAGCTTCCTTAAAGGAACGGCGGTTCGAACGTAACGGGAGGTTCGTGCTACGGGTCGTCCTGGGAAGACGACAAGTCGGGAATTGGTGTGGAGAGGCCAAACTGAAACTGAAACTGAGAGCGGAAGGCTTGACGAGGGCTACGGAAGAGACTGGCGAGCAAGAATGATTTATAGAGCTTGAATAGCTCACGACGATAGCAGAAGCAGCGGGAGCAGAAGTCACCATGGCTACCCTGAGGTGGAGCTCGGGAACTGATGATGTGGCGGTATCCGGAATCCGCAATGATGTGCGGCTTCAAGAACGCGCGGAAATGTGCCTCTGCGCTATGGCGAGGAGGAGGAGATGCGCGCTTCTGGGATTTCCCGCGCGGCGCTTCTCGCGTCTCTCGCGTGACTCGTCCCGCGCTAGAATGCGATGCGCCTCCCTACATGGGGGTCTTCTCCCCCCTTCCCCATTCCAGCCGCCTAAATACCTTCCGCCCGCCTGCTGATGTCGACGGACCGGCAACACCGTGTCAACCGCGCGGAACTATCAAAGGGTGTTTGTTCTACGGTCTGACGTGGCTGCGTGCTGATGCCCACTGCGCGGTGTTTCCATGATGCTGTCGTCGTCGCCCGTGCCATTCGCATGGAGGATCACTGACTGGCTGGGTGGGGCTCCTTTGGTCCCACCTGGGCCTGCTCCTTGGACACAACAAATGTGCCTTGGCCTTTGGGTCTGGCATCGTGGATCCTCGAGCCGCTAACTTGAGTCGAGGGACCACTTTGCTGGAGCTGGGCTTCCGCGAACGCAGCAGCGACTATGTCCAGCGCAGCTTAGGGTGGTGCTTATGTGGAGCTGACCCTCATGTGCGTGACTTGGCACACCAGCTGAATGTGATGGTGCGGGAGGTGACGAGGGAAGACCACAGCTGGAACTGGAATTCTATACCACTACAGTTAGTCGATACATCATGTATACGCAACCTTAGATTTCCAACCCCTAAAGGAACACAATTAATGAAACGGTCATGTAATTTTTTCCATGAAAAGAAACAATAAACCGTTAATATTCAATTAAATCATACAAAATTCATAATCAGGGTCCTCGATATGCAGAATGAGGGGGAGAAAGTAATGGTCGATTTTCCACACAAAATGTGCTGTTTCACTGTTGCTGGCTATGTTGTCATGTTGTGTTCTTGGTGAAGTTGTAATTTTTTCTCCGTTCACCGTTTGCAGAAACACCCGCTCTTCTATCGAGCTGCGGAAATCCAAATCCTATCTTTTTCTTTCCCCTCACACGAACACCACTTTCTTCAACATTCCTTATGTCCAGTGCTCAGTGCTGCTGACCACAATAGCCATGGCGGCTCTCGCATTCAGCAGCCGCGTCGCAACCTCAGCTCCGTCAATGCACTTCCGGCTTTCGTCATTTCGACACAGCAACGCTGCAGCAACTCCGTCAACTCCGCAGCCACACTCTTCGCTGCATTCTTCCTCCTCTACTCTCTTCTCCCGCCGTCAATGCAACGAATTTCGACAACATAAATCTGGCTCGTCTCGGCTCTATGACGTACGATCAACGCGCCAGGGATCGAATCCAACGCATGGTCTCCTCGTGAAAGCCAATGCTGCTACAATCACCTCCAGTTCAGCGAAAGCGTCAGGCGCTTCGCCGAGAGGGAATAAACGAGTCGTTATAACGGGGGGAAGCAAGGGACTGGGATACGCCATGGCGGAAGAGTTTCTATCGATGGGCGACTCGGTGGTCATCTGCGGTCGAGACGACGATCGCCTGGCTGCAGCCGTTGATGCGCTCCGACAGTCGGAAAAAGCGGCCGTCAAGGAAGACGAGTCGCCGAGTGCGCGCGTGTGGGGGATCCGTTGTGACGTGGCGAATGCGGAGGATCTGGCGAGCCTGGCGGGATTTGCGGTGGAGCAAATGGGAGGCGTTGATATTTGGATCAATAATGCAGGCAAGCGGAGATTTTCATTGACTGTCATTGACCAGCATGTAGATGCAGCATAGTGGTGCTTTCTGGCCACGAAAAGAGAGCACTCTCTCGAATCAACCTTGAGATAGAGAGCGCGAGCTTTACCAAGGCCGAAGATGCACATCACATCACACCCCTCCTATCTTTCATTGAAAACCCCCGACTCCTCTCCTATCCTCCCAACCCCCAACCTTTATCCATCTTCCAACCTGTCCTTCGTGTGGATCCTCGCTCCAAGTTCCACTCTTCTTGGCCCTCCTTTCTTCCCAACCTTCCCTTCCCATCTTCCTTACTGTGGCTCCGCCTTCAAGATCCACTCTCCTTCCATGCTCTCTCCTTCCACGTGCTCAGGCCAGGTGACGTCCAAGTCACTGCTAGCAGACGTGGCTCTATCGGACATTGCCTCGGCTGTCAGCACCAATGTGCTCGGATCCCTCTTCGGCTGACCTTTGAGTCGACTCAAAAGTCGGCTCCTCCCTCCAAGTTCCACTCCCCTTACATGCCCGCCTATCCTTATTGCACAAATACAGGCCAGGTGACGTCCAAGTCGCTGCTTGCAGATGTGGCTCCATCGGACATTGCCTCGGCTGTCAGCACCAATGTGCTTGGGTCCCTCCTTGGCTGCCGGTAAGCTCTCAAATGTGTGCCACTTTTGGAGCACTCCTTGGCAGCATGCTTTTGTGCAATGTCTGTTGTGCGTGCCAGGGGTGCTCGCATGAAGCACCAGTTCTTTCAACGATGCCCTATTGTTCCATAATGCCCTGTTGCATAAAGCATTGGAATGTGGATGCTGCTGCGGCCCTGTCATCCTTTGGATAATTGACACGATACAGCCATCCCACCAAACGGCTCCTCTCACTCTGCTACCCCCCTTCTCTTCCCAACCTCTGCAGGGAAGCCATCCGAGTGATGCGGCAACAAGCTGACGCAACCCAGTCCTCTGCCACGCCCCGTTACCACATCTTCAACCTTGGGTTCTCCCGGTGGGGAGCAGCATTCACGCGCTCAGCTGCCACGCACAAAGCCACCAAGATGGCCCTCTCGCAGCTCACCACCAGTCTCAATGACGAGCTCAAACAGGCAGGTAGGCTGTCACTGCTTGTGTCTGTTTTGAGACGTCTCAAACCAAGATGGCTCTCTCGCAGCTCACCACCAACCTCAACGACGAACTCAAGCAGGCAGGTACGGTGCGGCGGCTGTATGTGTCTCTCTGTGTGTGTCTTTGCAATTGTCTCTGTACATGTGCCACCAAGATGGCTCTCTCGCAGCTCACCACCAGCCTCAACGTCGAACTCAAGCAGGCAGGTAGGGCGTCGTTGACAATAGCCGGAGGTGATTTTTTAGTCGAATAAATTTCTTTCTCTCGCAGCTCACCACCAGCCTCAATGACGAGCTCAAGCAGGCAGGTAGGCTGTCGCTGCATGTATCTGAGCGTCTGTTTGCGTCTGCATGTGTGTGTGCGAGTTCTCCGCATGTCTCTCTCTCTGCACACATGTCAGCACTTCCCTTATTTGATAGTCTCTCTGCATGTGTCCCTGCACATGTTCCAGTGCATCCATTGCAGTGACACCGCAATATGAGTGCCACATTATCCCCACATTCGTGCGCCATGCTCCCACCCACCAGGTCTGACAAGCATAGCGGTGCACAACCTGTCACCAGGCATGGTGCTCACGGATCTGCTTCTCAAGGACTCCACTCCCATCGCACGCCGCTTCTTCAATGCACTCGCAGGTGCACAAGTAGGGGGCGATGGATGGCTGATGCAGCTGGATCCTTCATTTTCGTTTGCAGTGCTTTAAATCAAATGTGCGGCATGGCTCCACTTTTTTGTCAACTTTTCCTCGACATCTGCATCTTTTCTTTTCCTTGTCATCCCCCTTTGTCACGCCTCAAAACCCGCTTCTGTTGCAATCCCATTCTCCAGAGGAACCAGAGACTGTTGCAGCTGCCATTGTTCCTCTCATTCGTGGAGTCACGGCGCCGAACGAGAATGTGGAGTACATGTCGCCTGTAGATGCGTTCATTCGGGTTGTCACTGGAGTGCCACAGATTGTCAAAGGTGGCCGGTTCTTTGATGGAAACGGGGACAGGGTTCCACAAAAAGGTAGTGAGTATGCAAGCAATGGAGTTAGAAAGCAGTTTCCTGCTTCATAAAGTAGGTTTTCTGCTGCGTTTGGGAGGCTGGGCTAGGCAGTGCTATTTGTAGGTGTATCTAAAGGTTCAGTATCGTGAGCCTTTTAATACTTGATGTGCTAAAAAACCTTGAGGTTTCAGTGGATTGTCCATTTGCCTTTCTATATCTATAAGAGCACCTAGTCTCTAGCGAAGCTCATATACACGTCAGAAGAGATTCCGCCACGTCACATCGCCGTCTGCTGTTGCCAGTGTCAAGCAGACTCCACTCCAAGTTGCAGTACAAGGCACACTTACGATACAAATTCCTTCCTTATGCTCCGCACCGCAAGATCTTGCATTAACGCGAGGATGCAACACGTACCTCTTGTTTCGTTTTTTCGGAGAACACGCCACTTCGAACACTCCCTCATGCTTCTTCTATGACCTGCACATCTGACATGTCCTAGAGCGTAGAAACAAAATATCTGAAGTTTATTCTTGGCTGCTTGTCAGGCACTCCTTGTGTACTTACAGCCTTTCTGGTTGTTTCCTACTCCAGTTCTGAAACTCGCGGTCAGTTTCTCATTGCAATACCAGCTTTCTCTCAGGCATCCATCCGCGCCTCGGCGTCTTACCGCAACCAGCAACCAGCTGTAACTATAAACTAAAGTACAACGAGCACTGCAGTGCCATTTTAGTCAAACCATGGCGGGCCACGTGGAGGGACTGACTGAGGAGCAGAAGCAGCAGTATCTTGATCAAGGTAAGAAGACGCCTTCGTACCTTGTGTCATATATTATTTCGTTCCTTTTTTTTCATTCCGTACAAAAGCATCCTTAGCTCCCACGCTTTGAACACGGAACTCGCTTACTCTCAACATTTCAAGCCTCTGTGCGCGTTTCAAAATTGAACAGGCTATCTGGTGCTTGAAGATTTCTTGTCGTCGGACGATTGCTCCCGAATGATGCAGCGAATCGACGAGCTGCTGGAGGGTTTCGACCCCAACACGGTCAACGTCTTCAGCACGCGTGATCAGGTGGGGGTAGGGGGTGGTGGATGGGGGTGGGGGTGGGGGCGGGGGTCGGGGTGGGGATGGGGTTGAGCCTACGCGATGGAGTGAGGTTCATCCGTCGTGCAAGAAGAACGCGTGATTCCCGTCCCCTAGCGTGCATGGCTCTTCCTTGCCAACATGACTCGTGTACTAACTCTCTCATTTTATGCTCTTCTGTCTCGTCTTGTCTGTCCCACACTGCCGCGAGCCAGCAACTTTTTGCCGTTTGAATGTTCTTACAGAATGAGCAAACCAAGCAGTTATGGAACCGTGACCTTCTCGCCTCGTCTCCCTCCCACTCCCGCGTCGCGCTGTCCCACTCTTTCTCAAACGGCTGATCTTCTCATTCTCTCTGTTCACTCCTCTTGTCCTCTCTCCCCATCGCCCTTCGCTCCACGAATCAGGCCCGCCTGACCAACGATCATTTTCTCGACAGCGGCAGACGAGTCTCTTTTTTTTTCGAAGGTAAACTATTGCCTGTGCATGCGGGTGCAAGCAAGCTACACATCGTATTGACTAACTATTTTTCACAGTTCTGATTTTGTTTCTGATCGCGTTTGGGGCCTGACCTCTTTTCAGAGGTTGATTCTTCTTTCTGGCTCTATCTTTTGCTATGTGTGTGTGCGGCTGCTTCACAGATGTATTTACGTGCACAAGAAAAGTTTTGCCCTTATTGCGCTGTATGCGGCTCCAAGCTCCTCCTCTGGCAAAGGGTTTTTAATATTGTTCCCGTATCCTCGTTTGTGTCATGCCTTTGCTCCGTCAGAGAAGGCGTTTGACGCAGACAAGAAGCTAGTGAAGCCCAAGAAGCTTGCCATCAACAAAGTGGGGCATGGTGTGTAAGAGTTTGCACCTGATTCGGACGACTGAGCATAATTGACGAGCTAGAGGGTCTGCACGGACCAGGGAGGCGAGGGGGGAGAGGCAGGGGGGGAGGGGGGGTGCGGGAGAAGAGGGGGGAGAAGAGGGTAAGATAAGTGGGGAAGGGAAGTGGGGAAGAGAAGTGGGGAAGAGAAGTGGGGGAGAGATGAGGGGGATGAGATTATGAGAATCTGTTTCAGAGGTGCCGCAGGATAAAGCAGGATGAAGCCTTTTACAAGTGGTAGATGAGCTCAATTAGTTTTCTCACCCTCTCTCTCCGCCTCTCGTTTCTCTTTCCACCCAGCCTTACACGACTTGGACAGTGTGTTCGGCCCGCTGTCTCGCTCCCCTAAGGTCGCCGCCATTTGCAAGTCCCTGGGCTTCCGGCGGCCCTTGCCCGTCCAATCTATGTACATATTCAAGGTTCGTTTGAGTCTGGGTGGAGGATTCAAGGCATTGGTGTGTGTGTTCACTGTTCAATCTCTGAGGCGCCCTTTGGAGTTGACTATTGGTGCTGCTGGCTCCCGTGTCTGTTCAGTATAGGTACATATTCATGGTGCATGTGAGTCGAGCTGCTATGGCAATGGCAGGACATGCCTGTAAGACTACAATACGGAAGGTGACAGATCGGCTCTCATTATTGTGTGTTTGGTTCCTTTCGCACTTCCCCCAACAGCAGCTTTTATCATGGCCTTTGCATGCGTACCTTCGCTTCCGTTCCCCGTCCCCTCTTGCAGCAACCGACAAGGCGTTGATGCATTCCCCTCCTCCCCCCACCCCCAACCCTCACCCCCACCTCTCGCTCTCCCTGCAGCAACCGGGCATAGGCGGCGAGGTGGTGCCCCATCAGGACAGCTCGTTTCTGTACACAGACCCGCCCTCGTGTGTGGGCGTGTGGGTGGCGGTGCAGGACGCCACGGTGGACAATGGCTGCCTGTACGCTCTGCCAGGCTCACACAAGGGTATGTAGTGTGTGTGTGTCAGGCTTGCACAGAAGGTATGTGTGTGTATCATTGATGGGTATGTGTGGGTGGGTAGAGCGCACGGTTACCACCACTCTCCACTTTGCCCTCGAGTGGGTGGCCGTGCAGGACGCCACGGTGAACAACGGGTGCCTCTACGCCCTGCCAGGCTCGCACAAGGGTGGGTGTCTGTGTGTGTGTGCGTGTCGTGCTCGCTCAGGTGTAGTGAGTCGGTTTTTGAGTCGACTAAAAAATCGACTCACTACACGCGGTGGGTGTCTGTGTGTGTGTGCGTGTTGTGCTCGCTCAGGGGTATGTGGGTGTGTCCCACTGGTGGGTGTGGGTAGGTAGCGTGCCGATCGGTGCCTCCACTCGTCCCTCGTGTGTGGGCGTGTGGGTGGCCGTGCAGGATTCCACGGTCACCAACAGTTGCCTGTATGCGCTGCCGCGCTCACTCACACAAGGGTGGGTGTGCATCGGGTGCGCCCTTTGCTCTGCCCTTTAAACCCCTTTCCTCCCCCTTTCCCCCCTGCTCTTCTTTCCCCACTCGTCTCACTAACATCGCCCTAACCTCCGCCCTCCTCCCTGTCCTTCCCCCCGCCATCCCCCCCTTCCATGCAGACCCCTTAGCGCGCCGGTTTCTGCGGGACGGCAAGGGCGGAGTGACGTTTGACGCGCCCAGCCCCACATACGACCTCACCCAGTTCGTGCCTGTCCCAGTCAAGGCCGGCACTGCCGTCATTCTGCATGGCCAGCTCGTGCACTTCAGGTGAGTCTGGTATGCTTCTGGTGGGGTGTTTCGGATGCATTTACTTGGATAGATACACTTCAGGCACTGCCGTCATTCTGCACGGCCAGCTCGTGCACTTCAGGTGAGTTGAGGGGGGAGATGTGTGGGTCTGGTCTAGTTTTGGTCTTGTGTCCCTTCTACGGTGCTCAACCCCTTGATTAGCAAATGGTGTATCAGGTGTCTTGCCCCTCTGTTCCTTCTGGCCTCGTTGCTGTCTGCTTTGTGGGATTGTTTATGGATCATCCTTCGCTACACTGCCATCACACACCCCCGCACACCATCACACACCACCTTCCACCGTCTCACACCATCTCACACCACCCCACACATCTTGACAACATCTCATCCCATCTCTCACCCCATCACTCCCTCACACCATCTCATCCCAGCTACGAGAACAAGTCCCCCGTGTCACGCCACGCCTACTCCATGCACATTGTCGAGTCGGACGGGGCGGCATATCCGTCCGACAACTGGCTTCAAGTGGCCGCAGATGACCCACCGTTCCAACCGTTTTATGCTGCATCATCCACTGCAGCTGCTCATTAGACATATACCACTATGGTCAAGGCTACACAGTAGTTTCTTTAAGTTGGTGGATAACTTTGAGGGCAGGCAGGCAGGCACCTTTTACCATAGCATTGGATTGGATGCCACTGGCATTGTATATAGGGCATGAAAGCATTCACAGAAGATGTACCATCGACAGTGGGTCCTGCTTGCTCTACTGGATTGTGCTGTTAGGGATGTATGTGAGGGTTGTTTCATTCTACACACTGTACTACATAGCGACTAATGTTCAACTACACTAGTGGTTAATGTTGTCAAGGTTCGGTTTGATGAAGCCTGAATTTGGCGAAGCCCGTACATTTTCGTGAGCCCTTACTTTTCGCGATACACCTAGTCCGCGGTATTTTAACCACGTGAACTGTTTTGCTTCAAACACCCTTTGTTCATTTTCGGGTAATGAGATGGACATCCAGAGACTTCAAGGCTATTGTTTCGCAGCCAGAAGTATTTCCTTCTAAAGAAACTCACACTTAGTGCCCCGAAATAGAGGGCGGATCGCCAATGACCAGGTTTTGAATGCCACGCCTCACAAAGGGTACGCTAGATTCTACTCTCAATAAATATCAAAACTACTCGTATACAAAAAAAGTTTGACCAAGGAGAAGTACCCTCGCGCGGTTAAGATAGTGGCGGTTAAAATACCGCGGATTAGGTGTAGCGTTCTTTGAAAAGCATCCGTCCTCCGTGCGAGTTACCATTTCTGGTTCTTAGGGGAATCATGAACTTATTTTCTTCCTGCGTGTAGCGAAATTTCCGCTGCCCGCCTTGCACTATTTCGGACGCTAAAATCGACGCTCTCTCGAGCCCGGATTCGCACTCAAGAACCCGTTACCATCACGCGTTTGTTTTGGCTTAAGCGGCGACTACGCGTTGCGGAATAGTCACAACGACTCCACCTATGGCGAGCGCTGCGTTAGTGACGAGTAAAACAAGACAAGTCGCCTCTGCCACTCCGGCAATAGCGGGGATGCGCAAAGACGAAGCTGGTTGTATGGGGGACGTCGAACCTCTCCCTGGGAAGGACGTGCCGTGGGCTCGAATTAAGACTGCTGAAAGGTGAGACATAACGGAAGGGGTACGGGATTTGCATTTCGTGAACGCGACTCAGAATCTCTAAAAGGTTGTGATGCTAGCTTTTGGACTAGTAGCAAATCCATCCTTCCTCCGCCTTCTCCCCTCCTTCTCCCGCCCGAGTCCTCCTTCCCCCAGCCGCCTGTTCCAGAGACGTGGGATTTGAGACGTTGCAAAGTAGCCTTTCCCACTCTCCCCCCTTCTCCCCCCTCGTCCCCCTCTCCCCCCTCCCCCTCCCCTCCCCCTTCCCCACCTCCGTCCCCCCAGCCTCCTACTCCAAGGGAGGCCCGCAGGCGCAGCAAGGCTGGCGGAGCGCCTGCTGGCGCACATTTGAGCCGTCCCATAGCTCCGAGGTGACTCTTGAGTTCACTTTTGAGAATTCTCAAAAGTGATTTCAATATAGCCCATGTGAGTTTTGAGTCGACTCAAAACTCACTTGAGAGTTCTCAAAAGTGATTTCAATATAGCCGTCCCATAGCTCCGAGGTGACTCTTGAGTCTACTCAAAAGTCATCTCATAGCTCCCCCTCACCCCCTCCCTCCCTCCCCCCTCCCCACCCCCAGCCTGCTGCTCCAAGGGAGGCCCGCAGCCGCAGCAAGGCTGGCGGAGCGCCTGCTGGCGCAACTTCTGGGGAAGGGGAGGCGGCAGAAGGGGGTTGGGCTAGCTTGGGGCGGGGAGGATGGGGAAGGGAAGGGGGAGAGGGAAGGGGAGGATGAGGGGATGCAGGAGGGAAAAGAAGATAGAAAGTGGAGGAAGAGGAGGGAGAAGGGAGAGAAGAGGGAAAGCAATGGGGATTTGTCTGAATCAGGGGCAGCAGCAGCAGCGGTAGAGGCGGTGGGAGTGGTTTGGGTGCAGGCGAACTCCCGAATGGGCAGGTAGGCAGAAACATACAATGCCGTGTGGTAACCCTCTTACTTGTGCACAATCCAGCAGTTGCCCCCCTTCCAACCAACTAAGTGACATTTGAGTCGACTCAAAAGTCTCCAGCAGTTGGCCCCCTTCCAACCAACTTCCAACCTCCAAGATTTTCCTGCTCCCCTGCTCTCCTCCCAACTCCTATCCCCTTGGCGTCACATTCTTTCCCTTTTCCTGATGCTATTGGCGTCCGTGGGTTGTCTCTAGGTTCAAGTTCTTTTCTGGTTTGTACACGGAAACTGTCTGCCATGGCTAGTACCAAACATTCTGCAACCCTGAACCTAGAAACCTCCTGCATTGAAACCCCAATTCCACCTCACCTTGTTCCCTGTGATGGCAGGCACTCTCAGGTTCTCTCAGAGTTCAGGCGCCTCTTTGGTGCTCTCCAGCACGTGCCTCCGCCTCTGTTCCTGATATGGTAGCGCTTTTCATTCTTCGAATCGCCAGTAGCTACAATTTTTTTTTTTTTTTTTTTTTTTTTTCAGAGTTTTAGCTGATATCATCATTGCAGAAGCTGCAAGTATGTGTATAGATATGGTATTTTCTTCCTATTTCCAGTCTGTTTGATTGTTTTTGTACTTCTTCTTCTTCTTCTTCTTCGTCTTCTTCTTCTTCTTCTTCTTCTTCTGTTTGGTAGGGTATTGCTTCCCGAAAACATTCCATTTCCCCTTCAACTCTCCCTGCCAATCCTCGCAGGCTTTCTCTTGCTGTATCTGCCCGGGAATTTCGTACAGCCCGAGCAGCCCTAGAAGATCTGTTCACACAGCTATTGACTACCACCACCACCACTGGCACCACCATCACCAACACCACCAGCACCACCGATGCTTCTAGTACCAGCACCACCACGAGCCACTCCACCACATCAAAACAGAGGCCGTGGGGAAAGGTAGCGAGGGCGTGTGCACAGGTGCACGTGTGCACGGTGCTGGTGCAAGGGCTGGGAGATGTGAGTGGGGCGAGACAGTGGCTCGTGCACGCACGCATGCAGCAGCAGCAGCAGCAGCAGCAGCAGCAGCAGCAGCAGAATCAGGGAAGGGTGTCATATCCCCCATTGTTCTCCCCATCAGATCTTGATGTAAGCTTTACTGCCTTTTTTTTATCTGAAACGAAATTTTGCGTTGCAGCTTTCCTGCTTGAATTTTCTTGCATATCCCTTACCAATCAACTTCCTGCTGTTTGTTTGCGGTACAACTCTCTATGAGTGCCCTACCAGTGCCTTTTTATCTTGCTAAATCACTTTAACTTTTGTTATCTCCTATGCCAGTCAGATTCATCCTCCATTTGAAATGCTTCACATTTTCAAGTTACCAGCTTCGTCCGCCCACCTCCTGTGAATGTTGTAATCTCAATCTACTTCACTCCCCGTTCCCCCAACACCGCTGCTCCAGTTTCTTGATCAGCAGCTCGCGCTGACAGTCCGACTCCTCCCAACCGCATCCCACCCTGCCGCCTCATCCCTCCATCTCACCGGAAAATCTACACAAGATGCACCTGGGAGAACCGCAGCAGCAGCAGCAACACCCAATGCTGCTGCCACAGATGCTGTCGCAGGAGCAGGAGCAGGGAGCAGTATGGCATGCTCGTCCCCGTCTGGCCATGTACCAATGCATGACACTGCATCAGCACCCTCTCATCACCATCACCATCATCAGCAGCAGCAGCAGCAGGGAGGTGAAATTTCTACGGCCACAGCACCAAAGCACAACATCTCCTCCTCTCAACCATCTGCTCATCTCCCTGCCTCCTCCACCTCCTCCCTCTCCAAACCCCCACCATCTTCCTCCCTCACCTCCTCAACAACCCGCCCCACCTCTCGCCTGCCCGCCTGGATCCTCACCCTCGTCTCTGCATCTCACTCTGCGTCCCAGCAAGTGGTAGCAGTGCTGGCTGCTTGGGTGCGTGCAGCAGGGCAGTACGGCCCTGAGACTGCTCTTGTCGCTGCAGCGATCCTTGCCCTTGTGCTCCTCACAAGGTTCCGAGCTCAAGCAAGCAGGTGAGGGGCCCGGGGATTGCTTGTGCGTTTCTGTCTGCGTTAGGCGTTCGTACTCCCTCAACCCCTTAATCTTTATTCCCTTTTTCTCTGTTTACTTAATCTTTGCTCTCCGCTTGCTTCTCTACTCTCACTCCTCTTCAGGGTTTTCTCACAAGCTCGTTCAGCAACACAACAAGCTTTGCGGGATCTCTGGTCGCTTGCCTTTACTGTTAATCTGAGCCCTCTAGCTGTTGCTGCTCAGCCCGCTACTGGTGTTGGTGGCACTCCCTTTAGGTAGTGCGCTGTGCCTCGGAAAATCTGTGCATCACTAAGAGAAATTATAGTTCCAACAGTGATATGCTTCACCTTCATTCCCTCTCCTTTTCAGTGATCCTTTTTATTATGTTTGTGCATGTTCTGTGCACTGTATTTGGCGTGTGTTACAATCGAAACACCTGATCCTCGACTTTTCCGCGCCAACCAATCTGCCCTCGCCAGCTCCCGACCTTGTCGGACAGGAAGCGCCGCTCTGCTGCTCCAGCGTGGCAGTTTCCGCTTCCCGCTGGTGTGCTTTCCGCCACCCCTTTCAACATTTCCTTCCCCCATACAGTACTACCACCTCCGGACCAGATTCCCTTGGGAGTTCGCATGCGGTTCATGTATCAACCTTCAAGGAGTGAGTACCGTGCGGTTCGAAACGGTGAAGCGAAAAACCGCTCTAGGTTGCACAGCAACCTACTCAGTCTTTCTGGAGCACGCTTTATTCCCCCACCCAGCTTCCCCCTTCTCCCCACTTTCACCCGTCCCACTTCCCCGCCTTCTCTTCCCCCGACCTCCCTTTTCCCCGTTCTTACTCCAAAACACCCGTGCAACGCCCAACTTACGTATTTCTGTGCCTTTTCCAGTTGCTTGCCGTAGTTTGCGTGGATCCGACGCGCCGTTTTCCCGGTTCGCGGATTCTATATTTCAGATCGTGCCGTTTCGCACGGCCAGGTCTGAAGGGCAACGGCGGAAGGTGGCAAGGCAAGCAGCTGATGAAACTTCGCTGGCACGTCTTTCCGAATTCGGCGGCGCAACAGAATCTGCACGTCACGGTTGCCGATCCGACGTGCTTGATTGGAGCCTAACCCGAATCCTGTTTGCGCAGATCCTAGATTCCCGTTGCTGTGATCCATTCCGCTACTGGATCTATTTTTCGCGGAATTATCTGAGAGTTTTTGGTGAAGTATTTGTCTCCTGTCATTGATTCCCTTTCCAGCCATGTCGACTAATTCCATTCTCCTATCCTGCCTCCCCCCTTTAGCCCCTCGTGTCTCCGCCCTCCCGCTGCCCGCGCCCTTCCGCACATCTCCTCATCAACCTCATCCCCGGTCTTTTCCCGTTCATTCGATCTCCTCGAACCGCCCGAGGCGCCCGAGCCGCGCGAGCCAATTAATTCAATCCAGTCAACGGAGCTTACTAAGTCAACGATTTGATGGTAACTTCGCGGGAAGGAGCGGAAAAACTGCTAGCTCTCGTCAGTTCCACCTCCGATACAATCCGTCCGGTTTAAGAGCCTCAACCCCTCGTTATAGTCACGTCTCAAGCTCCACCATGGCTGAAAAACCAGGCGCCGTTCCTTCTCGAGCTAACTTCCCGTGCTCCCGTTCTCCCCGCCACCTCTCCTCTTCCGCCTCAGCCCCTCCCCCCTCCGCCTTTTGCGCGCGGAAGGGCGGGAGAGTCGTAAGAAATCGGGCAGGTGATAAAGACGTCAAGGGGGGAGGCTTGGACGAGGAGGGACTAGTGGGGAAGGAGGATGGGAGGGATGGGGAACAAGAGGAGGGCGGGAAGGAGGTGAAGGAGCGCGGAAGAATATTGGCCGAGATTGCAGGGAGGATAAGTGTTCTTGGGAAGGCTGAATCTGCGGCTTTTTTTAACTCGTTTCTTGAAACAGGGAATGAGACCGCGGGGAAGGAGACGGCAGGGAAAGGGGCGGATGTCGCAGCTCGAGGGAGGGGGTCGGATGTGACTGCAACGGGGGGTGAGAAGGACCGCCAGGTCGCGGAGGGCGGGCAGGATGTGATTATAGGGGGCCAGGTGGTGCGGGTAACGCAAGAGGATATAGATATGGCGGAGATGATCGAAGCTCTCGAGTCGGCTTTTGAAGAGCTCGAGGAGGAGAGGTATGAGGAGGCGGAGAAAGGGAAGGGGAAGGGGAAAGCAGAGGGGGAGCGGGAGGGGCAGGCGGAGAGGAAGGGAAAGCAGGACGGAAAGGGGGACGTGAAAGGGGAGGGGGAGGGGGAGGACGGGGGCAAAACGGAAGGTGCGAAGCAGGAGGGGAAGGAAGGGAAGGGGAAGCGGGAGGAAGGGAGGGTAGAGGGAGATGAGGATTCAGATACCGAGGCAATGGAATACGACATGGATATGGATTTAGACATAGATCTAGGTGAGCTATGCCGGAGCGCGGTTGTCCGGTGGCTAGTATCCTGGAACCTAAGCGCCACGTGGCAGGGCGACGTGCAGACGCTCGCGGCGCTCCTGGACGAGCTATACACCAATGAGATGCTCGTGATGACGCAGGAGAAGGCGAATGACGCCATGGCGGCCGCGGTTCGTGCGGGCACGGATTTCTTCCGCGCGAATCTGGAGAAGCAGTACGTGTGGTATGACGCGGATGGGAAGGTGGTCACGGATTGGACGAACGAGCGGGTGAGCGTGTACGTTGCAGGCACGCTCAGCCTGTTTCTAGACATTTCCTTGGAAGGAAACTCTGATACCGCCTTTCCCCCAGCTGCGCTGAACTGGCTTGACGAGAGGAATCTTCGATCGGAAGTTTTCGGGCCCGGGGCAGCTGTGGACATTGTTACGTGCGTGCCCGGGCCGTACGGCGGGAAAGTTTTTGCGTTTGAGCTGCCCGAGGGGAGGGAGGCCGGGGAGGTATACGCGGCGCTGAATTCGCGGCTGAGGCGAAGCTTTCCGAATCTTGAAGTGTCGTTAGACTCTATGCAATACGCGATGGATGTTGGGGATGACATGTTCAAGGGCGGAGGAGGAGGAATGGGGGGAGAGAACGACAGGGACGGAGGGTGGGGCGGGGGGGCAGGAGGAGGAGGAGACGGAGGCGGGGGGGGAGGGAACTGGAACGAGTGGGGGCAGTTTCAGACGGGCAACGCGCCGACGCTCTACACGACGTGTGCAGCTTTCGTTGTGCGAAGAGACGTGTTTTTGCAACCAGGCCTGCCCCTCCCCATCACCGCCGGCGCCGCAGCCTTCACTCTAGCCTCTCTCAAATCCCTCGTCCAGCCCGATCTAGCCCTCACCTCCTCGGCAGACCTCGCCTGGGCTCTTCTAGGGTTGTATGCAGGTGTAGCTGCCACCACTGGTGCGGCCATGGCTGGCCAATACGTCTGGGCGTGGTCATATCGGACGGACACAGCCAAGCCCCCGTCGCCGCTTTACTTCCTCCCGCTGTTCGCTCCGGATATCGGCCTAGTCACGCTTATCACACAGGTTGTAGCGCCAGTCCCCTCTAGGGTCGCTCTCCTGGACCTCACTCTCCTCTCCTCCTCTGCTGCGATCTTCTCCTCTTTCGCTCTCCTGCAAGCCTCCGCCGCGTTCCCCTTCCCTCCCGCCCCGTTCTCCTTTCCCTCCGACCTCGCTTCTTTGGGATTTGAACCCGCGGTGTCGGAACTGGCGGCGGCGGCAGCAGCAGCAACGGCAGCAGGAGGGTCTGTGTCTGGGGTTATCCCAGTGAATCCAGGTCTGTTGCAGCATTCTGCATTGCTGCATGAGCTGCTGATACGTCTCTCTACCACTGTGATTCGGACTCCTGACCCTGCCCAGGTCCAAGCAGCTGCAGAAGCAGCAGCAGCGGCGGCGGCGGCAGCAGCAGCAGCGGCGGCAGCGGCAGCGGCAGCGGCGGAAGCAGCAGCAGAGTCAGCAGCGGCAGCGGCAGCAGCAGCGGCAGCAGCAGAGGCAGGGGCGGCAGCAGGGGATGCAAGGCTAGCAGCAGCAGCAGATGCGATAGCAGCGCTTGCTGCAAGATCAGGACTCACGAATTTCAGCAGCGAGATTGCTTCTTCTTTCGCTTCCAGTGTTCTCGGCACCACCGCCAGCAGCACCACCACCAGCAGTATCATCAACAGCAGCAGCGCCGCCGCCGATACCGCCAGCAGCAGCAGCGACATCATCACCTCGCTCTCCACAGCTGCTGCTGATCTCACCAACACCATTGCCACCACAGCCACCACCGCCATCGCTGCCAGCACCAGCAGCAGCAGCGTCGAAACCCTAGTCATCCATCCTCTTGCTCTCGCCGGTCTCCTAGGACTGCACGTGTCCGCCGTTTCCCTCCTGCCAGCTGTCGGCCTCCCAGGAGGCGACATTCTCTATGCTCTCGTTCGAGACCCACTCGTTCTCTCCCTCGCAACCACCGCGGTTACAATCATGCTTCTCGTCTCCATCCCTCTCAACTTTTCCTGGACCTGGGTGCTGCTGTTCCTTCTCCTGCCTCTCCTCGCCCTTGCTAAGATCAGAAGGCCAGTGTCAGAGGCGCTTACGGCTCCCGACCCTGTGAGGGTGTGTCTTGGGGTGGGGTTGTTGGTGACGGGGGTGGTTGTGCTGCTGCCGGCTCCGCTGTTTGAGTTTGTGTTTGGCGAGCCTGCTGGCCCTGTGGCTGAGCAGATTCTGATTTCCCTGGGACTGGGCTGAGCTGAGCTGAAGCGGGCTTTTTTGCGGAGCTCTCTGACTCGATGGTTCTTCACTTCAGCTGGCTGGGATATGTCACTTATGCTGTGCATTGTGGTTTAGATAGTCATGTTGAGGGGTGGAGTGGTTTGGGGATTTGAGATTTCAAAGAGGACGAGATAGATGGTGGAGGTTGAGAGTTTTTCATGGGGGTTGTTGTAAGGAGATAGTATGAAATGAATGGACCTTGCTGAATTTGATGCAGCTTACATGCCCCATACAATCTTGCATAATGTCATTGCAGCTGCCACCGCCCAGGCTTGGAACTTCAACTGGTAACAATAATCAGACCCCTTTTTGTTGTGTAGTCACAAGTAGGTGCATTGGCCTTTTTCAGTTGTTTTTCTTCCCAGTATTCAGGTTAGTCACAGGCCTACCTTGCACTAACTGTGACTCATTTAGTTTCGTGTCAGACATTGAGTGATGACGCCAGAGCCAACCATGTACATTCAGTAGTAACATTGAGCTGATGGTATTGTATCAGCACAACAAACTAGAGACATGCTGTCCATAAATTCACAACATGATGCGCCCAAGACTTATTCACATTCATGGACCCTTTCACTTCTTGAGCACCAGAGGTCCCACGTTGTCTCCAGTCGCCTTGTTGTGCTTCATGTGTGTGCCGTCGCACAGGGGGAAGGTCCCGGAGCGCCAGCACCTGAAAAATAGTAAATGCAGTCAACAATTGGAATATGAAAGATGGAGAGCGAGGAGATTAGTAACGGGCAGAGCCAGGGAGTGGAGGGAGGGAAAGCGGGCGAAGGGTAGAGGAGAAAAGGGGCGCGGGAAGGTCTTGCTTGCTACACCAGCACTCGCAGTGACAAGTATGCAATTGTCAGGGAATGACGGGGGAGGGAGATTGATGGAGACAGGAGAATTGACGGGAATTGCATGCAACACCATATAAGGGGACGCCTGCAGCAGTTTTTACTCGGAGAGGCAGGATAGGCTCTGACAAACAGGTACATTTGCTATGCTCAGCAACATTAGAAGCATAGAGCTAAACCGGACCAGCAAGTTCAGGGTTAAGGTTAACACGCGCCTGCAGTAAGCGGTGACGGGCTTCGCGAGGTCCCCCACGACGACGGTGTCAGCAACCTTCTCCACGTCCTTCTGAATGGCGGGGTTGATCACCACTGCCACCTCGCCCTTGGCCGCCTGATGGGGAAAGAGGCAAAATTGAAATTGAGCTCAAAAGGCGACCACGGCGTCGACAACCTTCTCCACGTCTTCCTGAGGAGGAAGCGTAGAGAGGACAGTGGAAAGGGACGGCGGAGTGAGACAGACGGGAGCGAAGGGTTGATGGAACTTCCTTGAAGGACGGGAATAAAGTTTGATGATAAGAATTCAGCCTTTCGAACGGCATTCGACGAGGGATAAGTTAGGATGATTGTTTTCACATAATGGCATCGACAAGTGTGCTCGGAACACATGTTTACGTACAATGAGAAACTGTCCGGTGCGTACAGGGCACATTGAAAAATTGGAGCATTCAAAGGTACTTACTTATCTTCTGAGATATATTATCGACAGTTTAAAGTCGTCGTTCGCCGTGCAGGTGTTGGAAATCTTACACAAATGCAAGTTCATCGTGACCATGCACGCCCTAATTAAATCCGCGTATCACCCACCTCAGCACGGACGGACACACGGCGGCTGGTCTTCACTCCGAAGCCAACAGCAGCAGCGGGAGCGGCGAGCAGGGGAGCCGCGACAAAGGCAGCCATGGCTGATGTAGAAAGGTACGTGGAGAGGGTGTGTAGAGCGGGAGGAGAAGCGTGGAAGTGGAAACCTGTAGGAGGATAAAAGCGTTGTGGATTTGAATGAGCAGACTGACATGGCAGCTGATTTATACCATGCTCGTTGTCTCCTCGTGGTCGCCTGCTGACCTGATATTCCTGCCCTTATTCCCCCGTGCATACGTGGCCCTTGAAAGTACCGCGCCCGATCTGTTCAGGGTAAAAATGGGGGCGAAGTGCGGAGCCTAGGCAGGTCAAAACGAGTTCACTACGGTACAGTACGTTCCAAAACTTTTCAGTAAACAGTTCTTCCGCCAAAGCTGACGTTGGGGGGTGAAGGGGGCGGAAGGGGAGGAGAAATTTGGAATGGAAATGTGGGAGGCCGTGGGAGGCCGTGAGTCGCAGCGGATAGGATGACGTTGCTGATGCATGCATGCGCACACTTTCCGCCAAGATCGAATGCAGTGGAAGGAGCTCAGAAATTCAGAGATTGGGTTTCCAGAACAATCGTGCTTTTTCCGTTTCAGACAGCCTCTTTATCCTCATACGATTCTTTTCGGGGTTGGCAATACCCATTTAGTACTGTAGAATGTGAATATGTATGCATGATGCCTAATCCGGATCACTTGGTTCGAAATCCACTACATATTCTTCTCGCTTGCTTCCTCGCGCTGGTCCGAGGCTGATCCATGGCCAATTGGGCCGAATAGCACGATAGTCGACTCTTGACGGCGATGGCTATGGCGCCGTCGCCTTGTCCTCGACATGTCTCTCTTGAGCCGACTCAAAAGGCACTTCCGATATCAGCTGCCCGTTTAGTGCGTTCAGCTTCTATAGCGCGTACAGGTCGTTTAGCTTTCGCAATTTTGCGACCGAGCACGTTCACGGGATGGGCAATAAGAGCGCGAGTGCGCACCGGACCCGCCTTGCGCGTTACACGGAGCAGCAGCAGCGGCGGACCGACACCACGGGCCCTGAACGGCAACCGGATAGTCGTTGCGCGGTCGTCACGATTGGCCAGTGCCGCGCGCGCCGATCGCGGTAGCGTCGAGCTGCCGTCGGACTTGGCTGACCTAGGAGGTACGTCGCGAGTGACGTTCCCGAGAGTTCCTAAAATCATATCCAGAGTTGCGTCCGGGGACGTGCGAGGTGCGTCCGGGGAGGTGCGTCGGGGGAGGTGCGTCGGGGGAGGTGCGTCGGGGGAGGTGCGTCGGGGGAGGTGCGTCGGGGGAGGTGCGTCCGGGGACGTGCGAGGTGCGTCGGGGGAGGTGCGTCGGGGGAGGTGGCCAGGCTCGAGTGTGCTTTGTTTGCAACAATTGCCGCGGATCTATTTCGCCCGGTTACTCGTTGCTTCCGTCCCTTCCACTTCACTCGTTCTCCATAACTCATCCCAAAATACTGTCCATACTCCCCCCTCCAACCCCCCCCCCCCTCCTCCCTCCTTCTCATCCTCCTCTCTCGCCCCCCCCCTTCACGCCTCTGTAACCTCCCTGCCCCTCCCTGCCAACTCCCGGTTCAATCTATCCCCGTTACAGAGCGGCCGTGTGTGCTTATATATCTCTCGGACCGCCTGACGCCATACCGCACGGCGTGGGAGTGGCAGCGAGAGGTGGTGGCGCTGCGGCATAGAGCTCTCACTGACAGGGCGCAACAGAAAGAGCAGCAACAGCAGCAGCAGCAGCTAGAGCAGCGAGAGAAGCAACAACGGCAGAGTGAGGAACAAGCGGAGCAAGAGGAGCAACGGTTGGAGAGAGATGACCTGTCCAGAAGAACTGTTACCTCCTCCTCCTCCTCCTCCTCCTCCTCCTCCTCCTCCTCCTCCTCCTCCTCCTCCTCCTCCTCCTCCTCCTCCTCCTCCTCCTCCTCCTCCTCCTCCTCCTCCCTCCCCCCTGACGTCCTTCTTCTAGTGCAGCATCCCCCGGTCTACACCCTCGGCACCCGCAGCGATCGCGCCAACCTTAGATTCGATCCAACGGCTGACACACTGCCAGGTGGCGCGGATCTGTTCGTCACGGAGAGGGGCGGGGAGGTCACGTATCATGGGCCGGGTCAGGTGAGATGGATATGGAGGGAAAACTGGAGATCGGGGAAGGGTAGGGAAGGAATTTTGAGCCAGGAAGTGAGTGCGGATGATGTTGGGGAGATGGGGGGAGTGTTGTACTAGTGCTCTTAATAACTACTCAGCTATCATTTGCCTCATGTCAAACCGATGGTCCATCCGCCCCCACGGGACCTGCTTTAGCTCAAGTCAGCTTAATGGCACTTCCTCATCTCATCCCTGTTGCCACTGATTTATGCTCTTCTCGCCACGCCACCACCTGCCCACAACAGCTCTTATCTACCCAATAATAAACCTGCTGCAGCACTGCTGTTTCCTTCATCTCACCTTCCCTCTCTGATCCGTTCCCCTCCCGCCACCACCTCCCCCCATGATAGCTTGTGATATACCCAATTGTGGACCTGCGGCAGCACCGCTGCGACCTGCACTGGTACCTGCGGTCTCTGGAGGAAGTGATTATAAGGGGTGTGGAGGAGGGATTTGGCATTCGTGCGGGGAGGGAACCAGGCATGACTGGCGTGTGGGCAGGTGGGTTTGCATGACTGCGTGTGTGTAGATGCATGTGCGTTCATGTGTGTGTATGTGTATCGCATATATACATGCGTGTGAGGGCCTCCTGTTGTGTCACCTTCCATGGAGCAGCGCTCAATGTGACCACAATCCTGTTTGCCTTTGCCCAATCTTCTCACACTCTCTCCCGCTTCCCTTTCCCCCGCACAGCCGGTTCCAAGCTAGCAGCCATGGGTGTGAGAGTCTCTCGTTGGATCACCTTCCATGGAGCGGCGCTCAATGTGACAACAGACCTCTCTGCTTTCTCCCACATAGTCCCGTGTGGCCTCACTCTCCCTGTGGGCTCCGTTGCCTCTCACCTCCTCCACCACTCGCACGCTGCTCATCCCGCCGCTGCTGCCGCTGATGATGGTGATGATGCTGGTGCTGCTGCCGATGATTCTATTGCTGGGAATACTTCTGCGACTAACTGTATTGACGGCACTGCTGCAAGCTACGCTGCTGCAGAGGGTGCTGCTGTTGCTAGTACAGCTACATGGCAAGCAGTTGAGATGGGCAGTGAACCTGACTTGGGGTCAAAATGGGAGGGGAAGATGATGGAGCGTGCAGCAGAGCATATCGCATCTGCATTTGCCCAAGTTTTCAGCGTGAACGTGATTCCCCTGCATCTGTGTCGCACCACTGCTGCCACCACTGTGGAGGATGGTGGTTCTGCTGCCCTGGGTGCCCCTGATGCTGCTGTAGCAGCTCGGTTAGCTCGCCAGTTGTGGCTGCCTGAAGACTTGTGTAGAGCAGCCTTGGATGGGACTACAATTCTGGAGCTAGAGGTGTGCGAGGCTGGTGCACGTATGAGGCATTGATGCTGTAGAAGATGCTTCCTGATTAATGAAAAGCTCTTGTGCATGTGAGGATGTTTAAGGCCTGTTGGGAAGGATACCATGATGCCATGTCCCCTTGCTCCTGTTGTACCGGTATCTCCAGCCAATTCTGGGGAGGGTGGTTGCCCCGTTGCTGCTGGTGCTACTGATGCTGCTGTCGCAGCTTGGTTGGCTCGCCAGCTGTGGCTTCCTGGCGGCTTGTGTGGTAGCTTCAGTTGAGGCTTGTATTCTAGGGCAAGAGGTGTGCTAGGTTGGTGCAGGTATGTAAGTTTGGAACACTGATGTTGTAAAAGATTCATCCTTATAACTGAAAGCTCTCATCAAGTGTCGTAGGCTGCCAGACCGTCAAGTAGGATGATTATTACATTCTAGGCCTGAGAGCTGCTGTTGTGAGAGGGGTTGACATCAGCTCGTGAACCTTAAAAATATTCAAGAGTGATTTAATCTGGCGAGAAGAGTACCTAAACTGGCCTTTCGGCCTCAGCAGCCAGTAAGACAGCTTGTTCAGAGCGAGATAAATGGTGCTGTAGTTGTTTATCTTAGATAGTGAGTTACAAAACAGCGCCCATGTGCTAGTGATCAGGCAAACGCTTGTGCATTTAGCAGCAACAGCGGAGCTTAGAAAAAAAACCCTGGATTCCAGGTGCATTCTCTGTATACTGCTGCTCACACTTGTACACTCAAAAAGCAAACTCTAACGCACAGCTACACCCCTATAGGTGACTCCTCGGCACAGCTTCCGCTTACTCCGACGAGCCGCTGCCGATCAGGCGCTGTCCGGGCTTCACACGCTGCGTTCCGGTGCCGCCGATGATGCGGGAGGGAGAGAGAACCTCAGCGAAGGAAAGGCTGGAAGTCTCGGTGGCGAGCTTGCTCTGCACCCAGCCCCTGCCTCCGTCAACACCGTCCTTCACGATCCATGTGCTCTTGTAGCCGAGAGCCACCAGCGACTGTGCGACCAGCTTGGCGATGTCGCCGTTGCTGCAGGACAGGCATAGAAGATATATTAGCGGAGAAACGAACGAACATCCGAAAGTTGGAAACTGGATTGAAAGGTGGAAGGCGAGTGGTGTAAAGGTGTGCAAAGGTGTACGGGGATAGCATTAACAGTTGCTCGAGCTGTGCTTGTTTGATTCTTATACATGTGCGAGAGTCAGTGGAAAGATGCTTGTTTCGACTTACGAGTCGATGAGGATGACGCGGGAGCCCTTGTTGAGGCGCTTCAGGGCAGCGATCTTGATCGCCGTGATATCAGCCTCGACCTTGCGCGAGTTGCGGATCTGGCCGCGAAGCTTGCCATCAACATCCTCAACTCTGCAGGCAGGAAGAGATAAGGAAGAGAATAACAAAAATGCTGGAGGACTGAAACTCATTGACGGTACCTGGACTCACTGAAGTCTTGAGGACGGTGATCAGGGACGATGAAACGGGACAACAGTGTCGGGACAACCTTTCAGAACCAGACTTACGGGACAGTCACAAGCTTGGACTTGGCGTTGCGGGGCAGGGAAGGGGTTCCGGAGCGGGACTTCTGAGCGTCGGACCGAATGTCAACCAGAGTGTAGTCCTCCTTCGACAGCAGATCAAGTGCCTGAGCAGCAGTGAACTCGCCGGCATAACCGCGAGCGGCATAGGCGATGGACCCGCCGAGAGCGGGAGCTAGGAGGTAGAGGAGCACGAGGCCACCGGCAGCGACGGCGAGAACAGCGGGGTCTTGAGCGATCACGGTGTCGAAGGTGGCCTGAGCGTAGGGGGACGCGAGATCGATGGTCTTCTCGGTGACGTCACCCGCCACGCCGACGGCAGTCTGCAACAATTGAGAGTAGCCTTGGTGTTAGCGAGACAAACCTTGGACTTAAATGGCTACGCATTGATGCTTGGACATAGAACTGGCGGTTTGATCTGCAAATGCAATACAATCTAGTGGCTCCATTGATGGGGTCGGACGATTCAAGCTGTCAAACTGTAAGAAGGAAAACAAAGTGTTAGGAAAATTACCCTGGCTGCTGAAATGATGGGGTCGATCTCAACACCGGAGTCGGAGAGAGCCTTGGATGCCTGGTCAGAGAGCTCAGACGCCACAGGTGAAGCAGCATCGACGGCCTTCTTGGTCACGTCAATGACGACGGGAGTGGCCTTTTCCACGAAAGGCGAAGCGGCATCAACCACTTGACCAGTCACGTTCTTGACAACATCGAAGGCCTGAACGGCGGCGTCAGCAGCTTGTCGGGAGAAGTTCTCCACCTGGCAGTGGTGGACATAAGGACATCGGAGAAAGAGCATTACATTGAAAACAGATTGAATCACCGGCGATCACAGTAGAATTCGCTTTGACATTCGGAAAAACAGCACCTTGCGTTGGGTAAAACGGGTTATCCTAACTCCAGAAATGGGTCCGGATCACTAAGACATAGTGAAGTGTGATAGAAGCAGGCCCAAGAATTGACTGACGCTAAGCTAACGTGTCGAACTTGATGGCGATATGCTTACCTGATCAAGCGCGTTCACGATCTGCTCAGCCTCCACGGCACGAGCTGCGCCAGCAGAGAACACGGAAGCACCAGCAACCGCAGCAGCGGCTGCGGCACGGTTGGTCTCGTGCTGTGAACGGACGGCAATGCGCCTGGCGTTCACATACTTGGCAGGGGAGGCTGCCTTGAAGGCGGCAGGGACCTTGCCGGTGAATGCCGACTTGGTCTCCAAAGCAGCGAGGCTTGAGCTAGAGAGGACTGCAGAGGCCATTGTGAATGCGGTCGACAAGCTCTGAGCTCAAGGGTCTCAAAAACTGCTGAGGAACGGGTCTAGTGGACTCACAGAAGAATTCGCGAGGAAATCAAGGACTTTTTTCTGAAATTTGAAATGAAATGCTGAATTTAGTAGATGCTTGTATCCGTCAACTGATGGTGGAGTCGTCGAGGGGAGGGGGGACTCTGCTCCGCATCAATGCACCTCCAGCGGACGGTTGCAGATGTGAGAGAAATTGGAGGATGGGAAAAGAAGTTTGCCCTATCCCAGCCCGGAGATCGCGGTCAGATTCAAATGCAGTGCATCAGAAGGTTCGGACACCCTCCCACCTCTAGTTACCGCGTCGCGTGCCTCCGGGCAGATACGGAACACTTTTTGGAGGCATAGAAGATGTGGGTTGTGGGTCTCGCAAAATGCTTCCTTGCTGACAGTCATCTCTGACGGCCCGCTTGATGCCTCCCCTCCCACAAAAGTGGAAACGCAGATCTCTGGGGCCTAGTGTGTACATTTTGGCGAAACTCTCGGGGGAGGGAACCTGACGGAAAAGTGGGTCTCGTAGGTTTCGCCACGTGGAGAAAAAGATCCTCCGAACCAGAAGCGATCCTGGGCTGGGGACGACACCCTGCGAGAGTAAGGGAGCCAGTGGCTGTTTGCCTTGCCACGAGGAGCTGGTTGGGTGGCTTGTGAAGGGAATGAATTGGGCCAAGAGAGCCACCCGCTGCCCACATATTAGGGACAGCGTCTCAAAGCTTCCCAAACAAGTGCATCCTGCCGGGTGCCGAACCTACTAGGTTTGGCAGATGTAACAAGAACAGTTTACTGGTCCGAGCCACAATATGTATGTTTTAAAAAATGAGAATGTTGATGATATGTAAGGGTGCACACTCCAACTTCGCAGCCATACCATACGCTGTCCAAAGGCTTTAAAATGTTACTTTCATACATAGATGAAGAGCTCTATATAATGCATCTATGATATTTAAATCCAGTACTTTGTGAACTGCCAATGTCAAAAACATCTAAGTTTTCTTGTATAAATCATGATTTTTACTAGTTCATATGCCTGAGTGCCAACAGTCTAGGACACTAACCGCCATATTGTTAATATTTGACCAGTTAGGGTTGTCCTCGTTCACTGCATATTGCTTCATCAGTCTTTCTTATTTTATGCTTCCTTTGCACCATCATTTCACACCATCCCCGTTGGCTGGTGTCTTCGAGATTCCTTGAACTTGCCCAACCTTGGACTTGACGCTCTCTTGCCCAAGCTCCATTTCTGTGAACACCTCGTCAGACTCTTGTGGTCTTTCCCGTTGAGCTGTTGCCGTGCCGTGAGCGTAGCTCCTCGCTTTTCACCCTGCATTCGTTGTTGTCGCTGATTTGCTGCAACCGCGACAATGTCTCCGAACACACCGCAAGAAGCGGACGTAGCGGCGGTGCCTGCGGGTGATAAAGCCGTCAAGAGCATCCTTATCTACATGGGTATGCAGGGGCACTTAATCCCTTTCTCTTCACTCCTTCGTTTTTGTTTCACGAGATCATGTACGAGCTTATCTGTCGATCTCTCCGAGTCGCTTCTAACCCCCGAGTCGTTTGCTTGCCGGAGGTCTTTAGCTCTTTTCACGACGAAGCGAGGGGAAGTCAGTACTGCTACTCGCTCTAATGCTTCTAACGGATTCTTTGTATAACTCCAGCTCTTATTGTGATGCACGCAAGGTTTAGTTGATCTGCTCCCTTTCTGATTAGGAGCTTTTTCCTCCCATATCGACATTGTTAAAGCTTACGAGATTCTTTCCCCATCCGCTCGTTCAACCCCACATGCACGACTGTGCCATCTCCCGCGCGTGCGAGCAGCAATGGCGGCTGAGGCGGCGCCGCTGGTGAACAGCCTCGATCTGCAGCTGAAGGAGCACGACTCGTGAGTGTGCGACCTCTCGCGTCTGATTCACATATAGTCGATTGAGGACGCGAGACGTGGATGGGTTCACGAAGAACGGAAGAGGATTGGGGAATACTGGGAGGAGAACTGAGAGAAAGGGGGGCGAAGTCAGAAGGGAATGGTTTGGGTGGAAGTGGAAGCGGTGGTGAGAACTTTTTTGGGTTTGATGAAACAATGTAAGCTCTGGGAAAAAAATATGATTTACGATCTGGATAGCGTCGTTTGGTCTTCTTCATATGCACATGCCCTACCTTTCCACCACCATCGGTTTTCATTGTTTCTCTCTCTAAACCCTCCA